GTTTGGCTCTTTTCGGGCCTTTTCAATTTGTATAAATTTTATAATTACTCTATCAATTTTTATGAAGAAACTCTGGAATGATTTTTAAATTGTATTGAATTGATAAGATCAATATTTTGGAGAATAATCATCTTTATTATATTGAGTCTTCCTCTGAGTGGGAATATAGTATATCTCACCATTTATTTAGGTCTTCTGTAATGTCTTGCTGTGACATTTTGTAATTTTTTTTTTTATGAATTTCTACAGGTCTTTTGTTAAATTTATTTCTAGTTACCTTACTTTTTTTTGCTGTTGCTATGGTAATGGTAAGAAGAAGTCATTACATCTACTGTTTTTCATGCATAAGAGATTGATTTATGTGTAACTTCTATTTAGAACTTTTGAGAATGTTTTTAGTAATTTTAATCATTTGTCTCGAGATTTTCTTGAATTTTCCTTAGGCATTATATTTCCTGTGATTAATAACATTTTCCCCTAATTTTTTAGGGAATCATTTTAATGTTTTAGATGCTTGTTCTAGGTTTTTGGTAGACATCATTTTATGAATTGTTTAGCAAATGGGTTTTCTCTATGTATTGAAATGAGCATACCCTTTAATATAACAGTTAACCCTGAACGTAAGTTTGAACTGCATGGGTCCACTTATGTGCACATTTTAAAAATAAATACCTATAATGTATTCCATTTGCAGTTGGGATTTTGCAGATGTGGAGGGCCATCTATATGCATTGACCTACACCATTGTATATAGGGGAATTGAGCAGCCATGGATTTGGGTGTCCGTTGGGAATCATGTTACAGTGTATAGGGATTTTCAACTGTGCCGGGAAGCTGGTATATCTAACCCTGGAATTGTTCAAGGGTCAACTATGTTTATATGGTGAACTACTTTAATAGATTTTCTAAAGTTAAATTATCTTTGCATTTCTGACAGAAACCCAAATTGACCATGATTTATTTATTTATACAAAGCTGAATTATATTTGTTAATATTTTGATTAGGATTTGGGCATTGATTTACATAAATGTCATTAGTAAAATCAATTTAACCTGTTGAATTTACTGGTTTATTTGGTAGGGAAATTTTCAATTACTAATTCAACTTATACATAATTAAAAATTCAGATTTTCTATTTTTTCAGTCAATTTTGGTAGGTTATAGTTTGCTAAGAAAATCTAAATTTTTATCTAATTTTCAACTTATTAACATAAAATTATTTCTAGTACTACCTTTAGATCTCTAATATATTCTAATTATATCCTATTTTTATTTCTCTACTTCTTTATTTATACCTTTTCTTATTTTTTCTTGATCAGTTTTACCAAAGACTTGTCTATTTTTCAAATCTTTACAAAGAAATAGCTATTCATTTTATTCTATGTTGTATTTTTTTTCTATTTCCTTATTTCTTGTGTTTATTTTTCAAATTTATTCTGATCTTTTTTTCTTAGCTTAATTTGGATGTTTACTGGTTAATTGCTACCTTTATTTTTTAATATAAGCTTTAAGGTTATGAATAATTTAAGAACTATTTTAGCTTTAATGTCTCAAACTGTATGTCTTTATTATAATTTATTTTGTTACATTTTTATGACCCATGAAGTGTAACTAATTTGTTACATTTTCATAACCCATGGAGTGTTATTTTGAAGTATATAGCTAATCCCCATACATTTATTTTTGAGCTATTCTTTTATTGATTTCTAAGTTAATAGCATCATGGATGATGGTCAGAGAACACAGTCCAATTGAAAAATATCTTTCAAATTGTTGAACTTAGAATACGGTTAGTATATATAACTGTTCAGAGTTTAATTGAGAATCTATATTCTCTAATTATTGGGTAGAGAGTTCTAATAAGTACCATTAGCTAAAAATTGTGTTATCCAAATTTTTTATAGTATTTTTATTTTTTAAACCACTGATATAGTTATTCATAGAGCTATGTTAAACTTCTGATAGTGGAGTTGTCAGTTTTGCCTACAATGCTGTCAGTTTTTGCTTTATATAGTTTGGAGCTATGTTATTAATAGCATACAGAAGCATTATTATTATTAGAAATCATTTGTAGCCTTATCCAGTTTGGCTCAGTGAATAGAGCATTGGCCTGAGGACTGAAGGGTTCCAGGTTCGATTCGGTCAGGGGCACGTACCTTGGTTGTGGGCACATCACCAGTGGGGGGTGTGCAGGAGGCAGCTGATTGATGTTTCTCTCTCATTGATGTTTCTAACTCTCCCTCTCCCTTCCTCTCTGTAAAAAATCAATAAAATATTTTTTAAAAAGAAGTCATTTGTATTCCTAATAACACTATATATATATATATATATATATATATATATATATATATATATATATATATAATGTTATTGATTTCAGAGCAGAAGGGAGAGGGAGAAACACCAATGATGAGAGAGAGTAATTGATTGTCTGCCTCTTGCACACACCACATTGGGGATCAAGCCCGCAACCAGGGCATATTCCCTGACCGGGAACTGAACCATGACTGCCAGGTTCATAGTTCAATGCTCAACTACTCAGCCATGCGGCCCAGGCTCCTAATAAAACTTTTTAACTAACAGTCTATTTTGTTGTTATTAATAAAGGTACACCAGCTTTCTTTCGGCATTTGGTAATTACATTTTTCTATCTTTTTATTTTAAATATTTATGTATTTTAATGCTTCTTATATCTCCTCTAAACAGTATGGTTGTAGTTGGATTCCAATATCCAGTCTAACAGTCTGTGATTTAACTAGAAATTTTAGTCCAAATTACACGTATTATGGCCACATATATTTGGAATTACATCTAACCTGTTGTGCTATTTATCTCAGTTATTTTCCTGATTCTACTATCTGCCTTCCTTGCTTTTCTAGATGTTTTTATATGTTTACTAGAGGCCCGGTGCACAAAATCTGTGCACAGGTAGGGTCCCTAGGCCTGGCCGGCCATCATGGCCAATCTATGGGGTAATCAGTGGGTTGATCAGGGGGCCCCCCGCTTGTACCCATCTTGGTCTGGTGCTGCCTGCTCACCTGTTCCACCACCCCACCACAGGCCCACTCTTGTTGGGGCTCATCAAGGCCAGCAGTCCTTTTACTGCCACCCTTTGCCAGTGCTGTGTCACTGATGCCCACCATGTTCCATGCCGCCCCCTGGTGGTCAGTGCATGTCTAACTCCCAATCAGGCAAACTCCCACCATGGGGACAATTTACATATTAGCCTTTTATTATATAGGATTTTTAAAACTAGAGGCCTAGTGCATGAAATTCGTGCACGGTTGTGGTCTCTAGGCCTAGCCTGTGATTGAATTGTGAGCATATGTTGTGGAAGGGCAGGTCCCTGCTGACTTCTGGGCCCTGGGCCCCTAGGGGCTCCCCTCTGCCTGAGTCATGGTGCCCAAGTCCCTAGGTGGAGATGTGGTGAGCCTGGCTGGATGGCATGGACTGGGGCACGGCGTGAGCCTCTGGGCTACCCAGTGGCACTGTATGGATGCCAGGCGGGTATATGCTCTCTTCCTGCTGGCCTCGCAGACCGGCTCCTGCTTGAACCCACGGCGAGCCCAACTGGCCCCTGTGGTGTGGGTGTGGGATGGGCTCCTTGTGGGCACCTGGCACCTGAACCCTGGCATCCCATGGGAGGAGAGCAGGGGGAGTGAGTGAGCTTGGCAGACATCCTGCATTCTCACCGCACCTCCGTCCCCATCACCCCACCCCCAGGTAGCAAGTGAGAAGTCACATTGCAGTGCAGATGCCTGCTATGTTCCACGCCACCCCCTGGTGATGAGTGTATGTCATAGTGAGCGGTCTAACTCCTGGTCCTGGTCGAACTCCCGCCTGAGGGGACAATTTGCATATTAGGCTTTTATTATATAGGATTCCTTTTTAAAAAGTCCTTGCTGGAAGGTATGTTTTCATTGATTTTATAATGAGAAAGGGACAGAGTGAGAGAAAGGTCAAAGTGAGAAACATCTATTGGTTATTTCCAGTACTCGCCAGGACCAGGGATGGGACCCGCAGCCTGGGCATGTGCCTTGACTGAGAACTGAACCCAAAACTAGATTCCTGTTTTTGGGTCTACTATTTAGAAGTGAGATACTTTATTTCTCTTCTTATAGTATCTGTCCTTAAAAATTTTAATCTTTGTAAGAAACTTTAATCTCTTGAACAACACAATAACTTTAAACCCCTTTAACTGTAGTCATCCCTCCACCATTTTTACATGCTTCATTTTTCAATATTTTATTTCAATCTTATTTTATTCCCCAAACTAGACATTCCTATTACTGCTGTTTTATGAAGACAATGACTGTTTACATGTATTCATATTTACAATTTCTTTGCTCATCATGTCTTCTTGTAGCTTAGATTTTTGTTTCTTGCCCTCTTCCTCCTAAAGAATATCCTTTAAATTTTAAGTTTCTTAAATGAGAGTCTATTTTTGGTAAATTCAGTTTTGTTTTGTTTTATTGTCTGAGTGTCTTTATTAAAAAATAAAGGCAAAATAAAAGTTTAGCTAAATATTGAACTCTAGGTTAACAGTTAATTGTTATACTAATGTCTTAAAGTTTCCATTATTAATGTTTTTTTAAAGTGTATTAGTTTACTATTAATGTTATAACAAATAACCACAACTTAGTGACTTAAAAGAGCACATATTTATTGCCTCAGAGTTATGTCAGTCAGAAGTCAGCTATGGGCCACACTGGACTAAAATCAAAGTGTTGGCAAGGCTTCATTCATTTTCCAGGAACCTTTGAGTCAACTTCCTTGCTCACTCAGGTATAGGCAGAATTCAATTCCATGCAGTTAAAGGACAGTTATTGGTTTCCTTATGGTCTGTCAGCTGTAGCTGCCTTCCCTGCTAGTAGCTTCTTTCTGGTCCTTGTACATAACTCCCTACATCTCAGAACCAGCACAGGACATCAAATCCTTCTCCTGCTGCTATCTCTTTGAAACAGCTAGGAAAGGTTCTCTACTGTTGGAGATATATCGATATGTGATTAAATTGGGCCCATCTGAATAATCTGGCTAATCTTCCCGTCCGAAGGGTAACCTTAATCACATGTGCAAAATTCCTTCTGCCATGTAAGATAACACATTCAGATTCCGATCACAGTGTGGATATCTTTGCAATGGGCAGGGGGAGGACATCATTCTGCCTACTATAGACATGCACTGTCAATCTAATTGTCATTCCTTTGTAGATGATTTGGCTGTTCTCTCAAGTGTCTTTTAAGATCACTTCTTTGGAGGTGTGCAGTTTCACTGTTTCTTGGTATGGATTTTCTTTTGTGCTTATTCTTGTGAATATTGCCTCTCCTCCATTCTCTTCTGAAACCCATATTAAACATATACTAGTTATTTCAAAGCTGTCCTATTATCCTCAGATCTGTGCCATAGGCCGAATCCATAGACATATAAATATCTCAGCCTCATGTCCAAGCCCTATCTCTGCAGATTCAATATTGGGTTAGTAATAAGTTTGACCTTGACCAGAATCGAACCTGGGGACCTTTCAGTCCATAGGCTGATGCTCTATACACTGAGCCAAGTCAGCTAGGGCCCTGAGGCCATCCTTAATGCAGACTGTGACACTGTCCACCCTTTAGAGGAGAGATCTGAGAAAGATGTCCAATCAGGCCCTGTAAGTAGAGGTGGAGCTGTTTAGGCAGGAAATTTGGGGGTTCCAAGTACCTATTAGGTGGTTTAGGAGTGAGCTATGCAATGACCCTGTGGATCCCTCGCTTTGTGGAGGTGGGCACGGCTGAGGAAGGCCATAGTAGGGCCCTCTTGTCCATATCCAAGGGCAGTACCATGTGATACAATAAGCATTTTCGTTTAAGAGAAATGAATGCTGGCTACAATAAGATGAGAAGGAAATGTGTTCATGTAAGAAGTTGAGGATGTGAGAATCAGAAAAGTTTGGAAGTATAGAGAAATATGGGTTTCAGAATAGGCAAGAGTTGCATGGCGAAATTAGCTGGCCTCTACATTGCAGAACTGAAGCTAAATTTGGGCAGCCACAGAGGATTCAGCCTTTATAAGAACTCCTAGAGGTATGGGGCATGAAATTCATGTACTCAGGGTCTGGTGGGGGTGTGTCTTAGCCCTGCCTGTACCCTCTCACAGTCCGAGACCCCTCAGGGATGTCCAACTGACAACTTAGGCATGAAGAGCAGGCCTAAGCCATCAGTTGGACACGCTTAGCACTGCCACAGAGGTGGCAGAGGTTCCCACCGTCGCCACTACACTTGCCAGCTGTGATTCTGGCTCAAGACTTCTGCCTGAGTGGCACTCCCCCTGTGGAAGTGCACTGAGCACCATGGAGCAGCTCTTGCATTGAACATCTGTCCCTGGTGGTTAGTGTGCATCATAGTGACTGGCCGTTCTGCCGTTTGGTCAATTTGCATATTAGCCTTTTATTATATAGGATTCTCTCTGAATAAATACTCTTCTACTCTGCTCCCTATCTGCTGCATCCCTTACTTACCTGACTCTTACAACATTTTCAGGTCTCTCCTTTAGTTTCCAACCCATGGTCCCTCTCCCTCTTATATTTTCCCAAAGAATTGTAATTTCTCATTCCAATTATACTAATTAAGTTGTCTATAGCTGCCTTTCTAATTAGCCAGGCTGAAAGCGGTATGAAGACATTTGTCTTGTCCATATCCCCAGGCCTCATAAAGTGACTGAAACACATCTGGTAGTCAAAAATATTTGGTAAATTAATAATTTGGCCTACTGGTACTTGAGTTGCATTGCTTGATATGGCTGAATCCACACAGGTTATCAGCAGAATATCAGCCTTTCAATGTCCTCCCACTTCAAATAATTTCACTTAACATGTGATTTTTTCAAAGCAAAGGTGATTTATTTTGTTATCTAAAGCACTGTATAAGATTATCTAGAAAATATAAAATCATCCTGCTTTCCTAATATGTTACACTATCACCACTTTAGAAAATGGATTATATCTTAGAAAAGTCTCTTCATTGCATGCAAAACATTTTTCTGATGCCTATAGTAAAGGAGGTGAAAGAACAACTTGAAGGAAAGGGATCATGGTATATATCTATCCCAGCCCCAGGAGATAAAGACTAAGATGCTAGTAGTATGCAACTGGCCCCTTCAATAACTCAACTAGTCCATACAGACAACACACTTAACACATTCAAACCACGCTTTGAGTCATTGATGGTCACGATTGACTAGTTTCTCAAAGCAAGGCCATGCCAGTTGTTAAAATTCTATAGAGATTAATCAACAGGGCTACCACTTGAGTGTTCCCTCCAAGTCAACTGTGGATATGACTTCATTGGTTTGGATAAGTAATCCTGTGACCATACAGGCTCTTGGATGCAAGTCCACAAATATTGGGGCATAGCCTGCACACTATTAAAAATAACAAAGGTTTCTGGGCTGGAGACACTGTCAACTACACTGTCATGTCTATCTGTGCCTCCAGGAATCAATGGTGGTGGAACAATATTTGTCTGATCACCCAGAGAGAAGGAGCCTGTGAGTACTTCAGCCTCAAACACGTAGGTCAGCTTATCTGAAGCTGATGTTTTCTTGGCCTGATATAGTAAGTTTCTGAGGTTCTTGGTGAAATATATGCCAGCTCCATACTTTGGGTCTGAAAAAAGAAAAAAAAATATATAAACGGTAATTATGATCTGCAGAAACATATTGTCTATTTGGGTACTAATACATATTCGCTGTCTAGTCCTCCAAACCAAATAATCACTACTTTTTGGTTCCAAGTCCCTGTGTCTGTAGCAAAGATATCCAAAGTTGTTCCCTCACGACAAATTATTGTCGATGCCCTGGCTGGTATAGCTCAGTGGACAAGGCGTTGACCTGCAGACTAAAGGGTCCCAGGTTCTATTTTCGGTCAGGGCACAGTCTCAGGTTATGGCTTGATTCCCAGTGGGGACATGCAGAGGCAGCCGATCGATGATTCTCTCTTATCTCTGATGTTTCCATCTCTCTCTCCCTCTCCCTTCCTCTCTGATAGCAATAATAATAATAAAAAAGACAAATTATCACTGATATCATCAATATAATAATAGCTTACATTTAAATATAGCTTCCTTCTTTCCTTCTGTCCCTTCCCACCTTCCTCCCCCACCTTCCTCTTCTTTCTTTACATTTACTTGGGACTTAACCAAACACCGTGTCAGGTTCTAGAGCAGCAATGAACAATAGAAATGCAATGTAAGCCACACAAATAATATTAATTCTCTAGTAGCCACATTAAAAAAGGTAAAAAGAAACAGGTGAAATTAATTTAATAATAAATGTATTTAACCTATTATATTCAAACTAGAGGCCCGGTGCACAAATCCATGCACCAGTGGGGTCCTTCGGCATGGCCTGTGGATTGGTCTGAAAATGGCAGGGCAACACCACCTGCTGCTCCTGCTCATCCCAGCCCTGCTGCACCTGCCGAAGGCTCCGCCCAATCAGTCCAGATTGGGAGAGGCTTGTGCTGCTCCAGTAGCACTCACCAGACATGAGCCCTGCCTCTAGCACCTGTTGGTCAGCTGAGTGGTGCTCCCCCTGTGGGAGTGCACTTACCACCACTGGGCAGCTCCTGCGTTGAGTGGCTGCCCCCTGGTGGTCAGTGTGTGTGATAGCCACTGGTTGACTGGTGGTTCCAGGCGTTTAGTCATAACAGTCCTTTAGGCTCATATATATATATATATATATATATATATATATATATATATATATATAAAATCATTCCAACATGTAATCAATATCAAATTTATTAAGGAGACATTTTATATATTTTTTAAAATTTGGTAGTGGTCTTTAAAAACAGTGCATATTTCATACTTACTGTGTACTTCAATTCATATTAAACACATTTCAGATGTTCAACCACATGTGACTGGCTCATGGCTACCATATTGGACCATACAGCTTTAGAGCTTCAAAAATGACTAAGACATGATCCCTATTCTCAAAAGTTCACAATGGGAACTCCCCACATAAAATATAGTACAATTTCATGTGGCAAGCAAGTATTTTGAGATAAATATCAAAGATTTCTTTCCTGTGAGTTTCTTCTGGCTCTTTGTTCCTCCATCCATTGGATTCTTGCTACTTATACAGGGGCAAAATATATAAAGCTTAGAATATATTTGAATATATATGATACATATCATATATAATATATAATTATTTTTAATTAAAGCAGAAAATATGGTCTTGAAAGTATGGCCTTGATAGTTAGGTTTTCTGAGTGAGGAAAAGAGTTTTTTGAACCAAAAGGATAAAAGCCTGAAGGATTCAGAGCATGTATTTTTATACCACCTATAACAGAAAAGAGAACAATACAAGATATTCTAAGAGCAGATTTTTTCATTTACGATAAATGTAAGTTCTTTCTTCTACCTTATGGGAAGAGAAGAATCAGGGAGGACATAACTAGAACTCACTTCCCTGTCACACTCTCTCAAGAATGCCCTGGGAGTCAAGATGTTGAAAACCAACAGAAACCTCAGAAAAACTAGGGGGACTTCTAGAAGAGAAGGGACCATTGCATGACTCCGCTGTTTTCAGCCCCCTCATCCAGCCTGGCCCCCGAGTGGAAAGTATCTACCCAGGGAAGATTTCCAGAAGGAAATACCACACATTTCATCTTGGAGGATGTGCACGCTCCAACACTTTCCATGCTGTAGGAGGAACACAAACATGGCCTGGAAAGGAATTCCCTTGACATGAAAAACAGAGTGCCCTGTGTAGACACTACCTAAGAGCAAAGGGGACTGGAAATTTAAGTAAAGGAAGGTGCTCATGACCAAAGGTGTTTTTATCTAGTAGGACACTGACAGGCAGAGGACAGATGGGGCCATGAACGAAACCACCCTCCTTTCAATGCTTGTCCCATCATGGAGAACACTCTCAGAAGAGGAGAAGTAAAGGCAAAACCTTGCAGGAACTGAGCCTAAACTCCAAAGGGACTAAGGATACCCTGAAAACGACTGAGTTCATCTATCAAGATGGAGTTTTCCACATCTGTGGACTTGGGAGCAAAAAGGCAGGTGAAGTTCAATTATACAGCCATAAAGAAAACCATACCTGAATTTTGTAGGATTAAACTTGTCTACTTGTGAGAGTCATAGAGGCTGTAACAAAGGAATGGAGGGAGAAGGAAGCAATTCACTGGGTCTGCAGGAGTTCGGGTAAGTGTCAACCAGGAGATGCCATTTGAGCTATGTCTTAAAGAATAGGAATTTGCAGGGCTGAAAGGATGAAGAGGGAAGACATTCCACATGTAAAGGCACAAAGGCATGAGGGCATACAGCATATTCAGGAAACTCTAAGAAGTTCATGACTAGAGTGTTGGGGAACAGAGTGTTATGAGGCTGGTGAAATAACGTGGGGCTGGAGCCTTTAATACTTTGCTAAGGAGTCTGAGTTTTATCTTCTAGGTAACTAGGAATGTAGATGCTAAACATGCATATAATTTTTTAGCACGATAATTCTGGAAGAGAAAAGGACAGGTTAGCTGAAACCAGTTTGGCTCAGTGGACAGAGGATTGGCCTGCGGAATGAAGGGTCCCGGGTTCGATTCCAGTCAAGGGTCTTGGATGCGGGCATATCCCCAGTGGTGGGTGTGCAGGAGGCAGCTGAATGATGACTCTCTCTCATTGATGTTTCTAGCTCTCTGTCCCTCTCTCTTCCTCTCTGTAAAAAAATCAATTAAAAAAAAATATATAAAATATATTTTATTGATTTTTTACAGAGAGGAAGGGAGAGAGATAGCTAGAAACATCGATGAGAGAGAAACATCGACCAGCTGCCTCCTGCACACCCCCTACCGGGGATGTGCCCGCAACCAATGTACATGCCCTTGACCGGAATCGAACCTGGGACCTTTCAGTCCGCAGACCGACGCTCTACCACCGAGCCAAACCGGTTTCGGCTCAATAAAAAAAAAAAAAAAAAAAAAAAAAAAAAAAAAAAAAAAAAATGACAGGTTAGACAGGTGTTTTGAGGCAAAGGTAGAACCTGGTAATCATCTAGGCTTATGGGAAGGTAAACTAAGGCAGCAGGAATAGAGAAGTGAGGCTGTGCTGAGAATTTTATTGATATGTCACCAGAACTCTGTGATTGCCTAGATATAAGAGAGAAAGAAAGGAATGGAGGATGATACAGTTTCTACCTTAGAAGACCTCATAGATGATGATGGTGTCAGCCAGGTTAGGGAGTATCAGAAAGCGGGTGTGTGTGTGTGTGGTTGGTAATAGCCTATGTCTTGGGGGAAAATATGGCCAAGAAAAGAGTTCAGCTGGAGTTGGCTATGGGATCATGGGTAGAAATGTCCAAAGATAGTTTGAAATATGGACCTGAAGGTCAGGAGAGAGATAGGTTACAGATGGAGAGGTAATTAGCCATATCTGCCACAGGAATGAAGAGGGCACTCGCTGGATTTGGAAAATAGAAAGATAATGATGATCTTAGAGTAGTTTGAGTAGAAGGTGCTGATTGTGTGTGGAGGGGCGGGAAGAGTGGGGTGCAAAGAAGCCAGTTACCGTGGTTTAGGAGCAAAAGAAGTTGTGAGTTTTTAAGACTGCTAATGAAAGGACCATACTGATCAACAATTTCCTGATTGCACTGGAAGATTTCTTGGAGGGCATTCATTGATCAATTTTTACCTCCAGGAGTTGAGGTATGCTCTATTTTCCCCCTAGGTACTGCTTATATTCTCTCTGGGGCAAAGAGATTTAAAAACTCTTTGCTGTCCAGAAATCAAGGCTCATGCTACATATTTTGAAGGGTAAAGATGAAGAGCTCTTATGGACGAGGCAAAATCAAGCTGCATTGCTAGGTATCTCCCACAATAATTACAAAACTTCTTGGCCTCCTTTGAATAGAACTAACGGGGACACTATAGCAATGAAGTATGTTGTTGTTTTGTTAATCTTTACCCAAGGATATTTTTTCCATTGCTTTTCAGAGAGAGTGGAAGGGCAGGAAGAAGGGGGAGAGAAACAGAGAAACATCAATGTGAGAGAGACACATCAATTGGCTGCCTCCCACACGTGCCCCGACCGGGTATATATACTTGACCTGGAATCGAACCCGAGACCCTTTGGTGCATGGGTTGACACTCTTAACTGCTGAGCCATACCAGCCATGGCTGTATGAAATATTGTTGTACAACTGAAGAGAGACATGGAAGCCACACATAGAACTCTTATAGCTGAGAGGGATCTTAAGATGTTAGTCACTTCACCTGCCAGATGAAATTGAATTCATTCACCAGATATCAGGCTATAGGAAGTGAAGAGGATGGAAGAGAAAAGACCAACTTTATTAAGTTCAGGAAAATGCCCTTTTAATCAAGGGATTAGAATGGTTAGGTAGTGATAATAATTTGCTTGACATAAGTGGGGCAGGAGGGAGTGGGGGGAAGACGGGGGGGGGGGAAGAAAGAGAAAGTATAGCTCCAGGGTACTCTGTATATAAGACACATAAACACAGAAAGGAGAGAACCTGAACTGTACATCTTACTGCTAATACTTTCATCAACATTAAACCCGCCAGCAATAAAATATATGAAGGAGAATAAAAATAAGGACCCTTTCAAAAAAATGTATGAAGGAAAATAAAAATAAGAACCCTTCAACAAAATATATGAAGGAAAATAAAAATAATGACTTAGCCACTAAATCCTAGTTGCAAATGATCCCCTCACCACAGCAACAAATGCTATTTGTGGAGAGTCCTCCGCTGATGTCTGCTCACCAATTCCCCCCACAGTAACTCCAATAATGATGGGCTGACACCTACCGCAGGGCATGGAGTACATTCTTTGGAAGCCAACTCTGCATGCCACTTCGCAGAATTGCTGTGGGACTTGCTGAAACAACCGGTGGCTCACAGGCTTCCCAGGCATTCTCTCTTCCATCATTTTCTTCTTTCTTTGGAAGGCAGCCATGAGAAGCACGTTGTCTATCTTCTCTACCTGGAATCCAAGGGAACGAAAATCTGAAGAGAGACTGGAGATCTGCTACTTAAATGGCCTGATGCACTGCTTCAAAAATAAAGGCACTTAATGTGCATATAGCTTTGCAAACAATTTGATTTTCATTTCAAGTTACACAGGGGTCTCTCCTGGCCCCAACCCTCTCCTAACTTGATTTCTATCTCTTCAAAATTCCCTGTCCCTTCATTGATAAATTCATTTAATAAAAATGCACTCAGCAGTCCCTTTAATGAAATGGTCAACAATGTATTTACAGTCTTTGCCCTCTTAAAGGTCATAGTTTGGTGAGATAAAAATAGGTACAAAAATATAATAGTGCAGTGTGTTAAGTTCTAATCCAGTCCTTTTATTTTGCATCAACATAGGCAGCTTTTAATTGGATCTTGATCTATGCTTCTGTATATCCTGACATCATTTCTGCCTCTTATATCATGGTATCTTCCCATCTCTAGCCTCCTCTCCATCTTATTTCTGGGATTCCTGGTCAACAGCCATTAGCAGGTGTTGGGTTTTTTTGTTTTTTTGTGTTTTTTTTTGGCTATAGAAAAAATGGATTAATAGCAAGGCAAGTCAAATCTTTCATTTAATTACGTATACCTTTATAACCCAAAAACCACAGTTTTCAAACTTTTTCTTTTGATCCTGAATTTCTGGAGTTGAAAGCTTTAGACATTTCAGAAACTTATTTTCTTTCATTTCATCTTGGTGTATTGGTTGCTGATCAGTCCATTGTCCTAAAAATGAGTAACACGAGGCAATAGGTTTATAAAGAAATATTATGAAACAAATTAATTTGAAGGAATAGACTAGTCAGTTTAAATTGTATGCCACATATTTTTAAGAAAAGCAAGGAGAACTACAATACTGTGAGATATCATAAAATAATAGAGAGGATTAATAAATTTGTCCTCAGATGATTTGGATTATGAGGTTGAGGAGATGAGGAAAAAAAAGCATTAATACATACTCCCCTCATCAATGCTAGAGTGATGATATATAACTGTGTTGTTCATAGAAAATGTTTGTACTTCCAGTCAAGATGCCCATCAACAAAAAAAGAGGCATAAGAAAACATCCTATCTAATAAAGAGGAAATATGCAAATGCCATCGCTCAGTCACAAAGATGGCTGCACCCACAGCTGAGGCCAAGTTCCCAAAAGGAGCCTTAAAGAGCAATCAGCAGGGACCTGAGGCTATGCCCTCCCCACCCCCATTGGGCTTGACAGGGGACCTCAGGCTGTGCCCCCCACCCAGCAGAGCTTGATGGGGGACCTCAAGGTGCACCCCAGTGCTGGGTCAGGGGAACTCAGACCACACACCCAACCAGTGGGGCTTGATGGGGGACCTGAGGCTGCGTGCCCCCTCCCCCCCCACCTGGAGGGGCTTGACAGGGGACCTCAGGCTGTGCCCCCCACCTGGCAGGGCCTGATGGAGAACCTCAAGGCACGCCGCCCCCCTGCCCCCATCCTGGCATCGGGCCAGGGGACCTGAGGCTACACCCCCTGCCCAGCAGGGCTTGACAAGGGTGGGACTGGCCAGGTCTGGCTCTAGCCCAATTGATGGTGGTGGTGGGGTGGCTGGATTTGGGTCTCATGTGATTTTGAGGTGCATGTGGGTGGGCGGGGACTTGACTCTGGGTCCTGTGGTGAGCCCTATGACAAAAGGTTTTCATATACATTTTACTAATTTTCTTTCATCTCTGACACTTCTATTATAGTGAAAGGACAAATAGCAATATTAAATTATTTCCTCTATTAATCCCCTTTTAAGGTGCACAAATTTCAAGCACTGGGTCACTAGTTAAGAGATAATAAAAATTGATATGTTGTTTATATAACACAGCAAGGTTTTCAAAGATTTCGTATCTCTACCTCATATGATCATTATACCTCCACCACTGAAATAATCAACACAATTTTACAAATAAGGAAATTAAAACCTAGAGACTTATATAATTTGCCCAATATCACACAGCTAATAAGTAAGGAGATCCAAGTTATAAATTTGGCTTTCCCCACTGCTTTCTGGCAGAATATTTGGTATATACATCATTCATATGCCACTTCCAAGCAAGAGCAAAATTTGGAGATTAAGACTAAACTGTGTCATGTATTTCCTCCCTTTCTTCTTTAACTTACTTATTCCCTCCCCCCTTTTTTTTAAGTTCAAGGGACTACCTGTTATTGTCCAAATAAGCTCCTTATTGGACTAAATGCACAGGTGGACAAAATAGAAATTCCCCAACAGGCTTACTTTTCCCCCTGTTTGAGTTTGACTTTACTAGTAGACCACGTATACTAAAATAACCTAGTGCCCAGCACATTTCTAATGGAGTGGGCCAAATTTAAAAAAAGCAGATGATACATCCAGAGAAACTTGCTAGAGGGTCAAGTTGTAAATCTGGAAGACAGGAAGGACAAAACACCCAAGCAAAGGAACTCCAAAGCCAGGAAATCTCAAAGGAAGAGACTCTAAGTTAAATCTGGAGAGCAATAGCTCACATTGATGAAGTATAGTATTAAGTCCAGCTGACTTGAGTTCAGCAAATATTTATTGAATTATGATTACATGCCAGGCACTGGCGATTCAAAATTTATAAACTCTTGCTACCAGAAAAGTTTGCCAGGAAGGATTAAAAGAGCAACACAATAGAGAGGTGATGCCTAACTTCTATCATTTAAATTTTATTCTGATGGATAGTTGGTATTCTCTGTAGTAAGAGCTTGTTTCAGATTTATCCATTTTGTTAATGATGATCTTAACCTTATTAAGAGAGGATGAGTCTGTATAAGCCTCTGAAGTGTAGTCATCAGCTACTAAAAATGTCACCTTGCAGCAGATCAAGGAACTTATATGGCTAAATTGCCAGTAGCTGGAGGAGGGCTCAACCTTACAAATGCAGTTAAAGTGATGCTATAACCTTTACAGGACATCAATATTTCTTTGTCTCTTGTTCTCTTGAGAGGTATCAGTGTCAGTTTACATATTCACAAGCATTACATTTTAAAAGCTAATAGAAATCATAATCTTGGGTCTCATTCTTGCATATGATTTTTGTCCATGTTTTTGGACACTGAGTTTTCCGTGGAATGTGGCTACAACATTTACTGCAAACTCCCCCTCATCTTGACCATTTCTGCCTAAATAATTTTTATAAACACACGGTGAAAATAAGGTGTCCTTTAAATTCCTGCATCTGAGTTGCTGTACTAAGTCCATTCTCCACATTACAACCAGTGATCTTTCTGAAATACAAGTCTGGTTAGGGTGCCTCTCCTAGGTGCTCCCAGAGCACTTTCACCCTCTTTCCTAAATAACCTTGCTTGCTTCTCAGAATCCCCAATTAGATTCTTAGTGAAAACAATGTCCATTTATCACTGTATCCTCAGCACCTAGAACAATGCTTGGTACATATCACAGATGCAATATTCATCAGCTGAATAAGTGAATGAAATAACCACACCACACCTTAGGTGGTATTTCCAATGGTATAATTTCCTAGTTAGCTCTAGGACTATGTTAAAAGGATCTCTATAGACCCCAATTCCCCATCATCTTGATGGATTTTTGCTCCACAAAATGGGTGCTGTTTGCATATACTTAATAGTACCAATTAATAATTTATTTTAGTGAGAAGGCTCAAAGTAAGTAATTTTAGGGTTCCTAAGGTTGCCAGCAACAGATACATGTAATAAAATTCAATTTTAAAAAATCAAGTGGAATGTGTCTACATTTGAATGCTCCATCTACAGAATTAGAGATGTGCTTTCCCCCCCACTGCCTAGGAGTGGGTTACCCTTGGCTTTCCATGTAACTTCCTCTTAGGTAATCAAGTCATGATAAGTAAATCCAAGTGTGAGTGTGTGTTTATTTACTTATAATTAACCTTGCTGGTAGAAACAGAGCCCCAAAATGGTTATACAAGTTTATGGCCTAGCACAGAACCTGCATAGTTTGCTCTCCTTCTCTCTTCTGTTTTCTTATCCACACACAGACAGACATAATCATACCCAAAAGGACAGCAGGGAGAGCTGACTTTCCAACTAAATAGAAAGTTACTCACCTGACAAGCTACAAAGGGCTCGCTCCTTTTTTTTTGCTATTTCCTCTTGAACTTCACACAGCATTAGTTCAATGTTCATAACTACCTTAATGAGGTCAGCCTGGGCTCCTTGAATCTCTAAAGTTGCCTTTCCCGGACTGATAATCTCTGAGATAGAGACTCTTTCCTGAAGCTGAGACAAAATGTCATGTTCCTTTTTTCCAAGGAAGAGGATATGATTATTCTCAATGATGTGCTTATCCTGGAGGGTCAGCATTCTTTGGATCCATTCTTGGGCCTCACATATTTTTTCCCGGTTCAATCCCATCAGATTGACAGCAGGAGATTTAGCTTTCAGCTCCTTTTCTGGGTTCCCTCTGATCTCCTGGGGGACTGAAAAGACTATCATAAACAACCACAGAAGACAGGTGAGTTTTAAACCAGAGCAGAACAATACACCATGGCCAGTATTTGCCCCAGGATATTGTCACTGTAGCAGCTTCAATTAAGTACTATCTCTGAGAGCTCTGTTGGGTATAAAGGAAATCTAGATGTATAGTTTACAGTTTCCCTGAGTTGGGTTTATCAACCCCTGCCCCTTCTATGTTGCATTTACCAATTCACAGATGAGTTCACCTTGTAATCTCACTCTGGATGTTGACCAACTATTATTTCCTGCTGAATGGGATTTTCCTCCACCTCTTACTAATCCCAGGTTTAAAAATCAAACATCTCAGGCTGAAACCGGTTTGGCTCAGTGGATAGAGCGTCAGGCTGCAGACTGAAAGGTCCCAGGTTCGATTCCGGTCAGGGGCATGTACCAAGAGGCAGCTGATCGATGTTCCTAACTCTCTATCCCTCTCTCTTCCTCTCTGTAAAATATCAATAAAATATATATATTTTTAAAATCAAACATCTCAGAAGCAACAGAGCTTAAAGAGTAAAATTCTTTTTAAAAAACGTATTTCTGATTATAAAAAGAATAGCTGTTTATTATTGAAAAGTTGAAAAATTATCAAAGTATAATGAAATAAGGAAATACCCATAATTCCACTACCTGTGATTCTCATTTACATCTTATCTGTGTGTGACAGGACATTTCACCCCTCCACAAGCACCGGGAGCTTAGCAGCTCCTGCTGCTGGACACAGTATATCCCAGCAAAAAAAAAAAAGAAACAGAATTTGATTCCATCCCACCCACGTATACCTCTCTCTGCAACCCCCTCCACAAGGAGTAAAGATATATATCAAGTAGAAGAATCTCTGATGGATTAGGGTGGCTCTGAACCCAAATTCCAAAAAGAAAGAGGGGGAGGGAGGGTGGACCAGTTGAGAGAGAATTCATAGATGAAGCAGCACCTAAAATATATAAAGAATTCCCTTAAATCATTACTAAAAAGAAACAACCCAATAGCCAGCTGGGCAAAAGAATTCGCAGAAAAGAAAACACAAACGGTCCATATATGTGTGAAAAGATGTTTCTCTTCATTGGTAACCAGGGACATGAAAAATTACCCACCATGTTGGCAAAAATTCATAAGTCTGACAATCTCCAATGTTGGGAAGGACACAGAGCAACTGGAACTCCTAGGTATTTATGATAGATGTAAAATTGGAGCAACCACTCCTATAATTATATTATTTAGAAAAACTTTGGCACATGTGTATCAGGGGATGTGTACAATAAAGTTCACATTCTTGTTTGTAACAGGCAAGAACTGGAAAATATCCAGGCCCTTCAACATGGAATATTACTATAGCAATGAAAAGTAGTGAATTTAGCTACATGGACGAATCTCAGTAACGTTTTGATGGGAAAAAGGTAAGTTGAGCACTTGCTATATTCTAGGCATTATTCTAAGAGCTTTATATATTTTATTCAATCCTTACAACCCAATGAGATACTATTAGTATTAATAGTAGCCCCGTCTTACAAATGAAGACACTAACTATAGTTATTAAGAAACTTGCCACCCTAGCTGGGTTGGCTCGGTGGATAGAGCATTGGCTTGTGGACTAAAGGGTCCCAGGTTCAATTCTGGTCAAGGGCACATGCCTGAGTTGTGGGCTGGATCCCCAGTGCGGGCGTGTACAGGAGGCAGCCAATCAATGATTCTCTCTCATCACTGATGTTTCTATCTTTCTCTCCCTCTTCCTTCCTCTCTGAAATCAATACATTAAAAAAAAGAAAAAGAAACTTGCCAATGGTTTTAGGACTAGTCCGTGGTGGCCTGGGAGCTAGTATGTGTGGGCAGTCTGATTCCAGTGCTCACACAATTCTGCCTCCCAGTAAGTGATCTCAGGACAATAGTGGCAATTAACGTATTTTGCCTAATGTAGCAGTTGGGTGGTATTAGGAACAATGGAAAAGTATCAGGACAGACTTCAAAGTCGGGAGTGAAGGAGGGGAGAGGGAAGATGGCCCCCTCTGAATAAAAGTCAGTCAAAGTTTTATATATACAACACTAAGAACTGTGAGTTGTATGGGAGGGGAGTGGTGAGTGTTTCTTAAATTGGAGGCATACTTTTTTTTTTTTTTTTTTTTTTTTTTTAAACTCTTGTTCTGCTTGGGAGCTTACATTACTTTTTAGGAGAAAACAAAAACATGTGTTGATATTTCTTTAATCCATCATCATCAAGAAAGAAGAATTGGCCCTGACTGATTTGGCTCAGTGGATAGAGCGTTGGCCTGAGGACTCAAGGGTCCTGGGTTGATTGCGGTCGAGGGCATGTACTTTGGTTGCGGGCACATACCCAGTGGGGAGTGTGCAGGAGGAGCTGATTGATGTTTCTAGCTCTCTATCCCTCTCACTTTCTCTCTGTAAAAAAATCGATAAAATAGGAGGAACCAAGATGGCGGCCTAGGTAAGCACCTAAGCTGCCACCTCACACAATAATTAAAAAAACAAAACAAAATCAGAACGGATATAATTCAAAAAGACAGAAAAGCTGGCGGAGTGGGAAATCTACAACTAGAAAGAAGGAGAGAGGCTCACGGATTTGATTGGGAGCCACAAAGCGCTGAGGTAGGGTGACACTCGTGCACAGAGAGGAAGGGTGGCTGAATGCCTGGCTGGCAGGAAGGGAAAGGAAGTCCCCGATTGCACTGAACCCTTTCCGACTGTACTGAACCCCAACCCTGGCCAAAACCCTGTGGACCTAGGCTCATATGGGTGGACTCTGTAGAGAGAGGCACCCAGAGACCCAGAGACTCAGAGACTGGGACACCAGGGAGCCGGGAGCCACAGTGGGCAGGGTCTACGGTTGCGCGCGAGTGAGTACGAGCAGAGAGGTCTGACCCTGGAGACTGCCGCAGCCTCTCCATAGCAGAAAGAGTCAGAAGCTCCAGACTACAGAAACCCAACCCAATTCCGGGTGAGCCCCCTGAGGCACCCATGCTCTTGCTTGGGGAATCTGGGACAGTCAGGCGGAAACTCAGGGGACCCTCGGAAGGCAGATGTCAGGCAGAAACTCAGGCGAGTGCACAAGGGCAGGGCTGACTGGAAGCCAAGACTGTCAGACTCCGTCCCATCCAAACTGAGCACAGAGGATATTGCAGTTTTGCAAGTAGGATCCTATAAGACTGTCTCCAATACAGAAGGTATCCCGGAGAAGACATAGCTGATACTCACATTCAATTGGCCTGAAGGTCAATTCCTCCCAGGGATACCAACAACAATAAAGACTTACTACAAAAAGGCTGTACACACAGTCCCACAAGGGGGAGCACCAAGAGTGTCTACCTCAGGTAACTGGGGAGGCTAACCCACTGGCCCATATAGGACACCAAACACACAAAGCCATCCTACCAACTCTGGGAAGCAGTGAAAATGCTTCCCAGGAAATAGATCTCAAATGAAAGAGATGGAGGATATAGAGTTCAAAACCATGGTTATAAGGTTTTTCAAGAATTTCCTAGAAAAGGCTGATAAATTTAATGAGACCCAACTAAAAATTAAACATAAACTGACTGAAATGGAAAATATTATGTAGAGATCCAACAGCAGAATGGAGGAAAATATGAATCAGGTCAAATATTTGGAATACGAAGAGCCAAAAGACACTCCTCTAGAGAAGCAAGAAGAAAAGAGAATCCAGAAAGTTGAAGATAGTGTAAAGAGCCTCTGGGACAACTTCAAGCATACCAACATTAGAATTATGGGGGTGCCAGAAAAAGAGAGAGTGCAAGATACTGAAAACCTATTTGTAGAAATAATATCAGAAAACTTCCCCCACTGGTGAAAGAAACAGACTTACAAGTACAGGAAGCATATAGAACCCCAAACAAGAGGAATCCAAAGAGGACTACACCAAGACACATCATAATTAAAATGCCAAGAGCAAAAGACAAAGAGAGAATCTTACAAGCAGCAAGAGAAAAGCAGTTGGTTACCTATAAGGGAGCACCCATACGACTATCAGCTGATTTCTCAACAGAAACCCTGCAGGCCAGAAGGGAGTGGCAAGAAATATTCAAAATGTTGAATAGCGAGAACCTATAACCAAGATTACTGTATCCAGCAAAGTTATCATTCAGAATTAAAGGGCAGATAATAAAAGGCTAAAGGAGTTTATCACCACCAACCAGTATTATATGAATTGCTAAAGGGGGTTATTTAGGAAGACAAAGGAGAAGAAAAAGGTGAAGATAAAAATTATGATCAACAAATTCATATATATTAACAAGTGAATCAAAAAAGCTAAAGGAGTTCATCACTGCCAAAACAGAATCTAGGAAGAGGAAGAAGATAAAGTTAAAAATTATGAACAACAAATAAGTAACTATCAACAAGTGAATCTAAAAACCAAGAGAATTAGCCGAAGCCGGTTTGGCTCAGTGGTAGAGCGTCGGTCTGTGGACTGAGGGGTCCCAGGTTCGATTCCAGGCAAGGGCATGTACCTTGGTTGCAGGCACATCCCCGGTGGGGGGTGTGCAAGAGGCAGCTGGTCAATGTTTCTCTCTCATCGACGTTTCTAGCTCTCTATCTCTCTCCCTCCCTCTCTGTAAAAAAATCAATAAAATATGTTTTTAAAAAATTAAAAAATAAAAACCAAGAGAATTAAAAAACCTGATGAACAATATTAACTGTTGAATATAATAGAATCAGAGGTATGGAAGGGGAGTGGACTGACGATTCTCAGGGAAAAAGGGAGTGGGGGGGTGCAGGAAGAGACTGAACAAAAACTGTGCACCTATGGATGAGGACAATGGGAAGTGGGGAAAGGGCAGAGGGTGGGGTGGGAACCTGGTGGAGGGGAGCAATGGAGAGAAAAAAATAGGAACATTTGTAATAATCTGAACAATAAAGATTTATTTAAAAAAATGATTCTCTCTCATCATTGATATTCTATCTCTCCATCTCCCTTCTCTGAAATCAATAAAAATATATTTTTAAAAAAAGAAGAAAAAAAGAAAAAGAAATGTAAGACAGAGAGAGTTAAACATTCTCTAGCCTCCAATAATCAGGATTGGTTTAGTTCATTGATCCCCAAACCCGGTTCCACATCAAAATTGATTAGGGGGCATTGAAAAATACACATGCTTGGCTCAGACCCAGAGTTTCTGAATCAGAATCTGTAGAGTTAGAGCTTACTAGTATACATATGCTTGTTGGTGTGTTTGTTTTTTAAAGTTCCCATCATGATCCTAATGATTACTTAGGTTTGGATAGCATTGGGTTAATCCACTTATTGTTATCTGTTATTACTGAGATGTGTTTTTTATAATTATTAAAGAGTAACCCCATTTAGATGTTTGCTTATTCAGAGCAGAAAGAGTGCTGGCTAAGTCAGTTTGTGAAGGGCAGAACTTTTTTTTTTTAGAGAAAAATTATAGACAGTATTTGTAAATGAACTATCCACACTTTGAATTACCTAAGGCAACTTTGCCTCACTCTGCTCATATCATAAAACTGGACTGAACAAGAGCATGGTCAGGTATAGAGCAGGTTGGTATCTAAGCAGGAGCACAATGAGATATATTTGGCTTCTTTATTCTTCTTCTCCTCCCCTTTATTAATTTAGATGATCAAGAATAGAATGAGCTTCCTGGTACTGGCACAAGCCATTACACTCAATTAATATTTGACAAAAGAGGCAAGAGGATACAATGCAGCCAAAACAGCTTCTTTAATAAATGGTGCTTGGAAATTTGGTCAGACACATGCAAAAAAATGAAACTAGATCACTAACTTATACCATACACGAAATGGCTAAAGGACTTGAATGTAAGCAATATCTTTGTAGATACATGTTGTAGCAATATCTTTACAGACACAACTCCTAGGGCAAGAGAGACTAAAAAGAAAATAAACAAATGGGACTATATCAAAACAAAAAGCTTCTGCACAAAGCAACAAGAAAGCCCACTGCATGGGAGGATATATTTGTCAATGTTATCTCTGATAAGGGTTTAATCCCCAACATTTATAGGGAACTCATACAACTTAACAAAAAGAAGATAAACAATACAATTTAAAAAATGGGCAAAGGACCTAAATAGACACTTTCCCGAAGAGGACATTCATAAAGCCAAAAGACACATGAAAACATGCTCAAAGTCACTAATCATCAAAGAGATGCAAATCAAAACAATAACCACCTCACACCTGTCAGAATGGCTATCATCAACAAATCAACAAATGACAAGTGCTGGAAAGGATGTGGAGGAAAAGGAACACTCGTGCAGTGCTGGTGGGAATGCAGACTGGTGCAACCACTGTGGAAAACAGTATGGCGTTTCTTCAAAAATTTAAAAATGGAACTGCCATTTGACCCAGTAAAACCACTTCTAGGAACATATCACAAGAAAATAGAAATACCAGTCAGAAATGATATATGTACCCCTGTGTTCATAGCAGCACAATTTACAATAGCAAGGATTTGGAAACAGTCTAAATGCCCATCAGCAGATGAGTAGATTAGAAAACTATGGTACATCTACACAATAGAATAGTATGCTTCTATAAAAAAGAAGGAATTCTTACCATTTGCAGCAGCATGGATGGAACTGGAGAGCATTATGCTAAGTGAAATAAGCCAGGCAGTGAAAGAAAAATACCACATGATCTCACTCATTTATGGATAATAGAGAACATTATAACCTGATGTATAAAAAGATAGATACAGAGAAGCATCGAACAGACTGTCAAATTACAGTGGGAAGGCTGGGGAGTGTTGGTGGGGGGGAGGTAAGAGATCAACAGAAAGACTTGTATGCATGCATATACGCATAACTAATGGACACAGACACAGGGGTAGAGGGTGGGGTGAGAGTATGTGCTGGGGGTAGGGGAGGCTGGAGGAAGGTCAATGGGGCAAAAAAAGGAGACATGTATTACTATTTGTAATACTTTAAACAATAAAATAAAATTTAAAAAATTTTTTAAGGGGACACATACATTCAGACCATATCAAATTGTTTTAATATGTGTTACATCCACAAGTTTGTTCATTTAAGACACTTAAAGGATATACAATAAAAAGTATTTTTAAAAAGTACAAAAAAAAAGAGAGAAAAAAAAAGAATAGAATGAGCCTGGATGGGAGATGCTGCTTCCAGGTCCATGAAGTTCTTACTCACCACTGTAATTGTTGGGAAGCTGGTGCTTGGACTTAACCTTCTCCATTGCAGTGCTGAAAGCCTATAAGCAGCAAAACAGAGCAGAGCAGGGATTTTGGTCATTGTCATCAAAATCCCTCCCTCTACCTGTACACACCACACCTGACCTCATCCACTCTGTGAGTTCCCACTTCCACTGCCACAAACCTAAAGCAGCCTGTAGGAAAATCTTGGGGACTAACAAGTGCAGCGCCACAGTCTGTTAGAACATGGCCGAGAACCAAGTAGAGGAAAAATGGAAAGAAAACCATCAGGCAGAAGCTCTTATAGTTAATAAAAAATTGATTTTAAAAAAGATACACACACATTGCTTTTTCTGTTGATCGGATTAAATGATCAATTCCTATACAATGCTTACTATTGTATCTGGCACATAGAAGACATTTGTCTGTTTTAAAGAAACTCATCTCTCCTAGAGTTTGGAATTACCATATCCAGTGTCTTCCTTTTTTTTAAAGTTGATACAATTGGCAGTAATTACTTCATAAAAAAGATGGTAAAAATTTCTTAATCTCTAAGCCATTTTTCTTCATAAATTATATTTGCAGCTTCTATTTCCAGAGCCAAAGGCCTTCTATCTTATCATATTTTATATCTGGAGAGGTCCTTATGGGAAACTTCCCTGTACTCCCTTGTCCAAGAACTTGGAAATAAAATAAATGAGATAAATTATCTACTGATGAATAGATTAAGAATAGCTGCCATACACAAAATAGATAAAAATCAGCTCTCTCTCAAAGTCCCTTTAAATGTCAGTATGTGTTTCAGGATGAGAAATCAATTTGGCAAGGCTTTTGAGTTAAATTGGAAAGAAATCTATAACTTAACCAGCAGCAATAACTTAGAGGAATGTGTGGATACCAGGCAGATGGTCTGCAAGAAGTTTGGAAAAGTGGAATTTGGAAGTCTTTCCAGCTCTGTCCACAATTGACCAATGCCTAAATGGAAGAGTGCCACTACTGTGTTCCTTATTCTGTGACATACTGCCTGGCACAAGGTAGATACACAATAAATATTTGTTAAATAACCATATGAACGACTACCATTACCTTTTACAGATACTCAGCTCCAACCAGTAGTCTTTGTCACCATGAAATACTGGTGAACACAAGTATTTCAGTCAGCAGTGATACTCACTGAATGTAAGCATCACCCTATTGTGAGTTTAGTGTAGGTTGGTCTTCCTGCATCAGGTCAACTCTGAATGTCTGACAAATCCATTTTCTGAAATGTAGGGACTTGCCCCTGTAGGTAAGGCCCCTGTGAGAAATGTGTAAGTTGCCCTCTGATCTTTCTGAACACACACCCCTCACTGAGAGATGTATTTATCAGAAGGCCAGAGGGTATACATATGTGTGCACACACATCATGCCTCCACATGGATGTAATGTATTGTTGATATTGAAACAAACCTGAAGGGGTGGTCCATGTTAGGGTGTAGTGTCAGTTACTATGTAAGATCATCCTCTCCTTTGAGTTATAGAACTGAGAGATGTGTCATCTCTCCATTTATTTTTTTCCTGTTTTTCTTTAGTGGTTCAGAACACAGGCTTTTGGGGCAGACAGACCAGGTTGGAATCTTGGTTTGGCCATTTGACTAGCTGTGCGTAGTTTTCATTTGTAAAATGGAGATGACAATAGTGGTCTCACCACAGGTTTACGGGGTGAGAATGGAATGCGACAGCTTCTTAGCACCGTACTTGGCTGATGCAAAACACGGCAGCTATTTTTATTATTAGCCCTCAGACTGTGACTAGTCTTTCTGCTTTTGTTGGAACTGCCATGTACATTTTTATTGTAGGTTGGGAAGAATGAACTTTTCTAGACATGGTTCATTCTTCTTGTAGGGATATGGTACTTCATGAATAGTTCAGAGATATAACCAGGGCACAATCATAGTCCTCTGCTTGTAGGGATATGGTACTTCATGAATAGTTCAGAGATATAACCAGGGCACAATCATAGTCCTCTGCTTGGGGGGAACTGGTGAATTTCATTTGAAGGACAGGCTGATTCATTTTGTCAAGAAGGCAGGCTACCTCACAGAGTAATTGGCCACCATGTTCTATGGATGAGTCGCAGAGATATGCTGGCGCCGGCTGATACTGGCTTACAAGAGCCCATTGTTCAGGTACCCTCTCACCTCCACCATCAGTGGTGCCACATTGATCATTTGAAGTCAGCAGGGGAAATCAGCAGACACTACAAACCTCCTTGTGTCTAGTCAGGCAGCAAAAGGAATAAGAACCTTTACACTTGTTCAAGGAAAGAGCAAGCTGGAACCAATACGTCTGTTTTCTTGTACAAGGAGAAAAAGTGGCAACATCCCACATAGAGACAGGCTGGGGGTGGGAAAGAGGACTAATGTTCAGAGCCACGCTCTGGGCTAGGCCCTCAGAAGGTCCTTTATACCCAGAACCCACATACATCCCTGGAAAATCACACTAGCACTTTGATGCTGCTGTCGACAGAATCAGAAACCTATGTCTTCAAAACCTAGTGTAAGGTGCTGTACCTTATCTCGTTTCTTTTTTAGTCTTTCTTAACATCATGAAAGTCCTTCTGGAAAATGCCAGCTAAGTGGGAATAAAGCAAAGAGATAGTACTCTAAGGGCAGAACAGTACCACAATATATACTAATTATGCTGAATATGTCAGTGACCTATTCACATGTGAGAAACTCAGCTGATCTGGCCACTCAAAAACAAAGAGCTGAGATGAAGTGAAATCAAAAGGCACTCAGACACACAGACACAGTCCCCTACACCACAGCTGATTTCTCTCTGAAGCCACCTTTAGGTGAATTAAGAAACAATAGGATGAATTTGAGGACAGTACTTGGACATGGCAAAAGTAGTCAGATACACCCTTGCTGTTAAAAAATTAATCTAATTGGAAAAAAGATAACAAACAATTCACTTAATTTAGTATTCAGTTCAGAACTCAGTGAACCTTATCCCACTACAGCTAATATAACAATTAACTTTCAAAGAGGACTTACTGTACATGAGGTAGTGTTTTAAGTGTTTTACATGTTTTAACTCCTCGAGTTCTCACAACTGCTCCTGAAGATGGTGATTATTACCCCCATATTAACGCTAAGGACTTGCCCAAGGATGTTGATGGAAGAGGAAAAGACAAAGAATTTGTTTTAAATATTTCAATGACAGTTTGATAGCTGAGTGGAAATGAGAGAGGGTTGGTGATGTGGATCTGAAGTTGGCTCAGAAGATTGGACTCCGCAGAAGTTATGGCAGAAATGTAAGGATAGTTGTGTGCTTGGAAGAAGAAAGAAGAAAGGGGAGCATAGGATCCTACACTGGAATTAGGAATTTGCTTACCTTTAAGGACCAAAGGGAAGAATAAGTGCCAACGAAGAAAAAAAGTGAAGCAAGACAGTGGGTTAAACATAGTTTCTCTAATGGCATTCTAATGTCTCATACTAATACAGGAAGGTCTGAGGTGGACAATTTACGAAAGTTAAATTTCACCAAGTCAGAAAAATCACCATGCCATACAGCTTAGCCCCGTGTCTTACATGATTACTAAACAGATTTGAATGAATGAATGAATGAATGAATGAATTAACTGTAAGACATTTCTAAGATATTAACTTACCTTGTGTATGTCCCAGTCTGTAGGAAAGATCACAAAGTTTATACTCAGTTGTTTTTCAGGATAATGTTTGGCAAACTCTAAAACTTCGTCAAACATAATCTGTGCTACTCTATTGTTGTTAATACCAATGCCTCCAGTCCCAAGAGCAGGAAAGGAAATGGAAGTTATATGTAGGTCTAGGCATTTTTCCAAACACTTCTTCACTGCACATTTCAATCTCTGTAGCAAAAACACAATTTTAAGGTCAGCCTTCAAGTCAAAACTTACCCCTTGATCCTGTACATATTTAACAATGCTAATCTCCACTCTCCCCCAGGGTCATGTCCATGCCTCCTCAGAGAGCAGAAAAGGTCCCACTCCATTGGGAACCCATTATAGCTATAAGGTTAAATGATGATAAATGAAAAGGCTGAACAAATTGAAGTGATGGACTGGTCCTTTTTGTGCTATTCAGGACCTTTGGGCACCATGATTTCTCCCAGCTTATGTAGTCTTGTTGACCTGCCCAGGTCAGAGAGCCACCCATCAGTTTATCCCCACTCATCTGTCACTTCCAGGTCAACATAAAGAGCTCTTGAAGTTTAATAAAGGAGATAGAGGTTAAAATGAATACGCAGCATTTATTCAAAGTCTTTTAAGGTCTGCCATGTATTTCTCCTAGTATACTTGGCAGATTTAAACTTTCTATCAATGTTTCAACATCCAAATGAATACTAATACAGGAAGGTTGTCTAAATACTAATACAGGAAAACTGAGAAATAGAGATGATAGGGATTACAGGGCCCTCTAGCCAAGAAAGAACCAGAAATGGTGACAAAACAAAGACAAAGAAAGGCAGATGGGAAGACACCACAGGAAATAGATCTGACTAGAATGGTGCTAGAAGGGAAATCCAGGTCCTCCTGGAACTTAACAGTTGGAAGGAAACAGAGAGAGGCAGACTCCCAGGCCCACTTAGGAAAAGGTCTACAGGGTACAGTGTGGTGAGGTGAATGGTGTGCAGACGGATGTTTCTATGCCTATTTGAGGTAAACTCACTTACATTTAGACATGTGTTACGTAATATTTTAGATTAAACTTTTTTTAAAATATATTTTATTGATTTTGTACAGAGAGGAAGGGAGAGAGATAGAGAGTTAGAAACATCGATGAGAGAGAGTCATCGATCAGCTGCCTCTTGCACACCCCGTACTGGAGACATGCCCGCAACCAAGATAGATGCCCCCGACGGGAATCGAACCCAGGACCCTTCAGTCCCCAAGCCGACGCTCTATCCATTGAGCCAAACTGGTTTCGACTAGATTAAACTTCTTAAGATAACTTATTAAGACAACAACAGCCCTAGCCGATTTGACTCAGTGGATAGAGCGTTGGCCCGTGGACTGAAGAGCCTTAGGTTTGATTCAGTTCGAAGCACATACCTAGGTTGCAGGTTTGATCCCTGCTGTGGTTAGGGTGTGTGTGAGAGGCAACCAATTGATGTGTCTCTCTCACATCAATGTTTCTCTCTCCCCCTCCCTTCCACTCTCTCTAAAAATCAATGGAAAAATATCCTCGGGTGAAGATTAACAACAACAACAAAAAACAACAACAAAATTATTCAGTATTTCAAATTTTCACAGGTGTAATAGAAAATGGGGATTATACAACCTGATAATATTTCATTAATGTAATGATTCGATAGAAATTCGACAAAGACTTTCAAGCTACAAAACAAAAAGATAAATTTACTTTGAGCTTACCTGATCTGAGTAATATGTTGAAAACCACAACACATGGAATACATACTGACAGGCCAATTTAAATCCTTTTGTGACCAGTACTAACTGGGAATTTTGAGATGTCTGCTGCTTTTTTTTGAGAAATTCCACTTCTATTTCTTGTCCTGCTTGTTGTAGAATTGATCGCGATACAGGACCACTTTCAAACTTCCAATTAAATACAGAATTAACAATTACATCTGTCTGAAAAAGGAAAAAATGGACAGGATTCCTTTTCAAATTACTTTTTGTCAAATGACTAATTTTAGTCTTTAATTCCCTGAAGAGTTTTGAAAAATATTTCTGAAGACCCTAAGTCCACAAAGTATCATTTAATAATGGACAGAATCTCTTTATCTCCAAAGAATAATCATATGATTAGTCTGTTTATCCTATTCAGTAATTAGGCAAAGTGTGTGAATGATACAATTTTTAGTGCAAACATCTATCATCCCCTTGCTGGTGTATCCTTCCCATATTTCCAGATTCTGCACATTCCCTGTGATTTATTTTAAGCTTTATCAATGAGTGGTTTCATTCCTTGCCCCACTGTCATCTCTTTTTTCTATTTTTGTGTGAATTTTCTGTTTTGTTTTACACAGAGTGGAAATGAAATTTCTCAGGAAATTTTCGCCTATTTTGTTTAAAGGTGAGTAGTACATAGTTAAAGAAAGTACAAATGAGACAAAAAAGTCTTCAGTGAAAAGTAGGCCTCCATCTTGGTGGGGTCCTCATATCCGCTACTCACACACTTATCCTATAAATTTTTCATCTGTCCTTTCAGAAATGGATTGTACAGCCTGGCTGGCATGGCTCAGAGGTTGAGCATCGACCTATGAACCAGGAGGCCAAGGCACACGCCAGGGTTACGAACTCTATCCCTAGTGTGGGGTACACAGGAGGCAGCTGATCAATGGTTCTCTCTCATCATCGATATTTATATCTCTTTCTTCCTCTCCTTTCCTCTCTGTTAAAAAAAAGAAATAGATTGTATATTCACTTGGGCTGTATTTTAAGTAATATCACCTAGTTAGCTCTAAGAACTGTACTAACAGAGTTGTATCCTTTTTCCCCCTCATGCTCACTTCCCCTTATATCACCCTGATGGTTTTGGCTCCCTTTGGGGGTAACTTAGGTATTTCTCATGGATGTTAATGAATGCATCACTTTGAAAGTATTGATACAATCAGAATTTGCAATTTGGGGATACTGCTTCCTTTTGGAATTTCAAGGTTCCTAATGTTTTTGGCAATAGATAAATACAATAAAACTTTAGTTAAATGGAAAGTTATTTAACAAGGATGTGTCCACTTTAATTTTAAATTGACATATTAATGACATCAAGTAAATACAGTGGAACCTCAGTTCTTCAACTTAATTCATTCCAGAAGACTGCTCAAGAAGCAATTTGTTTGAAAACTGAATAATTTTTTCCAATAGAAATAATGTAAATTAATCTGTTCCAGACGCCCAAATGATTTCGTGTTATCCTTTCTTATATACAGTACATGTCTAAGCTCTATTGTTGTTCTCATAACTTTCTTTTCACTTTGCTGCTATCACTAACCTTCTTAGAACCCATGAGACTTACTGTACATAACCTATATGATAAAAGGCTAATATGCAAGTCAACCAACGGTGGAATGACGGGTCACTATGATGCTCACTGACCACCAGGGGGCAGATGCTCAATGCAGGAACTGCCCCCAGTGGTCAGTGCGCTCCCACAGTGGGAGCTCCACTCAGCCATGGCTGGTGAACGAAGTGGCGGTGGCTAAAGCCTCTCGCTCCACTGCAGCAGTGCTAAGGATGTGCGACTGACAGCTTAGGCCCGCTCCCCACAGGACATCCCCTGAGGGCTCATAGACTGTGAGAGGGTGCAGGCCAGGCTGAGGGACCCCCCAAGTGCATGAATTTTGTGCACTAGGCCTCTAGTTTAATAAGCAGCAACAAAAACAAAAAACACACATAATAATCACAGTTCAATTTCCTGAGATGTTAATAACTCAAGGTTTAGCAGTAAACTGACTCATACTCATGCAATCTCTTCTTTGTCACCTGACAAATGTGTGACTGAAAATACATGTATCAGCATGAGAGAGTTTTAGAAACGAAGTTTTGTTTGACAACCAAGACATTTTTCATGAACAAGTTGTTCTAGAATCGAATTGTTCAAGAACTGAGGTTTGGCTGTATTGCATTTTGTGGGCATCCCCTCAATCTCTTGTCTTGCAGGCAGTATATGGTATTTTTTCATGTAGGAATAAGTCTGTTTGATTGCAGCCACAGGAGAGTCTAAAATGTGACATTATTGATCCAGAAAAGAAAAAGAATTCTGTTGCAGATCCTGCTACCCATTTCCTCCTTTACTTACTCATCAATATTTTGCTCAACACCTAGAAGCAGGCCCAGACTGGGGTTCGGGGCTACAGAGTTGAACAAGCCATGATCCCCATCCTCAAGATACTCTCCGCCTAACAGGGGAGCTGCACTAACCCAGAAATACTTAAGTTCACTGCTACCCTGACTCCCTCCCCTTCCTTCCAGAGCCCTCTCCTTTGTGCCCAAGGAATCCTGGCTAAATGCTAAGTCATACTTTGTATCATCCATGGCCCATGGCACAGAACCATATACTCAGAATACAACTTATAGCCCCCCCTGGTCCAGCCCATTATTCTCTATCTATTATTCTCCTTGTCTCTCTAATCAAGTCATTCTAACAACCAGGCCACACCTCCTGCCAATTCATATCTATAACAACTTGAGATCAGATCCGAAATACACATCTTCTGAAGTAATCTTTCTTGGTCCACCACACTCTTTTGTCACAAATTGACCTACTCTTAAATATTATGAATTCACTGTATTAATGAATACATTGTTTACTATGGGAAGGTGGCTTCAGAAATGTTCAGATGGTTTGTCTCACAATGAGATTTTTCAAAGAGATTTTTTTTTTTTAACATAAAAAGAGTAGAACAGATCTTAAGTTCCTTGGAATCAAAAATTGTTTTATTTCCTCATGGTGCCTAAGAATAATAGCAATAATAGTTATAAATATTTGTCATGTGCCAAAATTTATTCTAAGCATTTTATGTGTATTAATTTCAATTCTAAGATATAAGTCTTATTATTATCCTCATTTTTCAGGTGAGAAAATTGAGGATCAAAAGATAAACTAGATTCATGTCACCCTGCTAGTAAATGGCTAGTATTCAAATCCAGATGGTCTGTCCTAAAGTCCATACTCTTATAGATAATAAACAATTCAGTGATCCCCTTTGGCAGTGCAAGAATAGAGGAACAAAGACTTACCTGCTGTAGTTCAATGTGTCCTTGGACAATCTGGAGAGTCACTCTGTTCACAACCATCGTATTGAAAGGAAGGATGGCTCCCTGACTCACTGAGGACCCCAGCTCGTTACTCCCTAGAATGTATTCTGAAGCAGTTTTAAAGGAAGCAACAGTGGGGTCCTCATTGCTTACCAAATGAATTTCTCTTAAATTACTGGCCGGTGGCCTCGTTTGGAAATAAAGCTTGATAGTTTCCACAATGATCCTTGTACACAAATCCAGAGGGAATCGGAAAATCCCAGAGCTGAGGGCTGGAATTGCTACTGTCTCAGGGGATGAATAGTCAGAGGTGAAACAATTCAGAATACTTCTTATGGCTTTTTGCAGATCAGCTTTACATCTCACTGCATCCCTCTCCTCCCACCGAGGCCCAACGGCATGGATAATGAACTTGCAGGGAAGTTTCCCTGGTCCTGTGATAGCAACCTCACCAGTTGGTATTTTACCATATTTGGAAATAAACATATCACTCTCCTCTTGGATTTGTTGGCCGCCAGCTTTCACCAGGGCCTGCGCCAGGCCTCCTCCATGTCTAAGTTCTTCATTGGCTGCATTCACCACAACATCAATAGCATGTCTGGTGAGGTCATCCTTCCAGACAGATAGCTCTAGTCCCGCTGTCAGCCTTTTTCTGAAGACTTGGTGAGGCACACTGTTACTTTCCCGGGCTGGAGAGACCAGGGTAGAGACACAGCCAAATTTATTCCGGAGGACTTCACACAGCAGACTTTCATTATTTTGTAAAAATTTGAAGTCATTGTGATTAATGGGTATTTGCCAACTACAGTTTTCTCCAAGAATGTCAGTCTCTGGAATAGGAGAGATTAAAACAAAACAAAACAAAACAAATCAAGAAATGGGTAAAAGTTCCTTTGAAAAGAATGTAATTCCACTTCACATCAGAAAACTAAGTGTCCCATATACAAAAGAGAGAAGAACTTCCTCTATCCCTCTCCCTGATTATCTTTCTCACCTAGATATGTAATTAGATCAAGAATGTCCAAGATTTTTCAATGGTAAATCATCCATGAAGAACTTACTATAGTGTCTGGCATACAGTAAATACTCCATAAGTGGTAGTTATACTCCCATGATACAATGATGGTGGTGAGAAAACTATGTGTATGGGAGCTCATGAATTTTTAAACCTGCATTAAAATGGCGAGTTTGGGAAGAACTACACTTAAGGCACAAATATAGGAAAGGATTCAATTATGAGTCAAAAATAAGTGGAGGCTTTATTGGTAACTTGTTTGCTTAATCTTAGTGCCTTAGTCTGGGCTCTCTTACTAGCAGAAGCAGACTCTGAGGTAAAGGTTTGAATGTAAGTTTATTTGGCAGCTGATCCTAGAAAATACCAGGAGTATGAGATGGGAGGGCAGAGTGGGAAAGTAAGACATAAAAGTGAAGGAAATGAGTGAAGGATGTGTTGTGAAGCAAATTAAGCAGTAATACCACCAGAAGGGAAAGGAGCTGGGATATTCATCCAACCTCGTATCAGTCATTGGTCAAGGATGCTCTGTGGGGGGCATGGGCCAGCAAATGGGCGGAACATCATATTCTAGTTTCATGGAACAATTTTGGTGGAATTGAAACTGACTGACTAAAAATTACTGTATGTGGCAGATAAATTGTGCTGTTCAGATCCCCACTCAATGTGGTTATGAAGGAGGGAACATGGTTAGCTGACAGCCTCCAGTTGTTAGCCCTCAGGGTCCATCTTAGCTTTCAGCTAGGGTCACACTATTCCCAAGGTGGCCCCCATCAGTGGCTGATCACAGCCATTTATGTCCAATGTGGGACTCCCCTAAAGGGACATCTCAGGCTGCAGTTTGATGGCTCTGTCTGCCCAATCTGGCTTCATCTCTTTTCCTTTCCCTGAACCTTTTGCATTCCTAACTCCATCTCAGTTTCTGCTTCTTTGAGGACCTAACCTGTGACTGCATTTCATGGGATCTAAGATGTCATTATTAAATGCCACTGAGTAAGGAAAAACAATGCCAATTAACACGTGGCACATTACCGGTTGATAGAGTAGTTTCTTTTTTTTTTTAAAAAAATATTTTTTTTATTGATTTTAAACAGAGAGGAATTGAGAGGGATAGAGAGTTAGAAACGTCGATGAGAGAGAAACATCGACCAGCTGCCTCTTGCACCCCCCCCACTGGGGACATGTCCACAACCAAGGTACATGCCCTTGACTGGAATCGAACCCGGGACCTTTCAGTCCGCAGTCCGACGCTCTATCCACTGAGCCAAACCGGTTTCGGCTGATAGAGTAGTTTCATTTAACAGATGTGAAAAACTGTGTGTCCTAAAATAGGTAAAATTAGTTATATTTTACTTCAGCTATATTTCTCATCTCAGCTACCTAGAAAGACCTATGATGGCTTCAATAAAAGCAGCAGCATGCATATATGCATAACCCACGGACACAGACAATAGTGTGGAGTGGGGCGGGGGCTGGGTGGAGGGGGGCAAAAAGAGGATACCTGTAGTACCATCAACAGTTAAAAAAAATAAAAAGTTAAATAAACAAATAGAAGAAGTAGCATGCGCTAGCCAGATTCAATTAGCCTGCACTTTGGTAGAAAATCTCAAGTGGGCCACCCTTAGGATTAACCTGTCTCTGACAGCCCTTACTGAGCAAGGGACCATCAGTTGGTTGCCTCTTCTGATCAATTCCTCGGGCTGTGGTCAGAAGAGTCTTACATTACTGTATGTGGCAGATAATGTGCAAAGAAGGGGATCAATGGGAGCCCTAAGAGAAGGTGCCTGCTGACGCACACTGCCCCTGAAGCAGTCCCCCAACTGAGGCACGGTCCGGGGGGCCACAGGTCCTGCAATTACACACCTGAACACTTGCAGGGAAGACAGTCTCCTTCTGCACTCCCCTTTCTCCACTGAGCACAGATATGAGTAAAGGCTTTCGGAAGCCAGTCTGTGAGTGAGATCCTACCTGATTTCTCATTGTAAGCTGCTGCTCCAGCATCCTGTGAAAAAAATGATGGGAGTGGTTTTAAAAAAATTAAAACCAAATGACTACAGATCACTGATAACAGATACAGCCTAAAAATCACAAAGCAACAGGTACTCTGCAAAAAGCCCTGGGTTTGAGGGGAGGGGGGACACCTAGAGGTCGGTCAATTTGTTTAATCTGTGTGCCTGATATACTTGAAATACTAACTATTCTAGCAAACACTGATCCTACCTCACTTCCTAGAGGCCAATCAATGCACTTCCAATTTAGGATAAGATGAAGGGTTAGAGATTAACACATAAAAAGGTCCAAAGGTCACAGCCCAAATTACCAAAACTTTCAGATAGGCCTCCAATTTCCAAAGGCTCTTGGGTTATTCTGTATAGAACAGAAGACATGGAGACATGAGCTCATCAGCTACACCTTCCCAGCTACCAGTAAGGGCCCACTTTCAGTTGCTTATTTCATGACCCAAGCCTGAAAGTAGAATTTTACGTTTGAACATTTTCTCCATTTCTTTGTTTTTATTCTTCCTCTATAATCCTCCTCCCCCATCCCACCATTCAGCAAAAGCAGAATTGCTAAATGAGTATATAGAATCAAAATGACACTGAGATGTCACTTTTACAAATCATCCATCCTCAGGCTGCCTCTGTTGATTAGATTAGCATATTCTGGATTCCCTTTGTCTCACATGGTACAAGGAGAAACTTTAATTGGGCTATTAATACCAAAATGAAGACCCAGATTTCTTGCTATTATGGAACTATTCATGTGCTGTTCAAAGTCCAGGTTTTATATATGTTTATATATAAGTGCCTTTACCTTAGAAAACTCCATCCTCTAGGACCCTGGGGTCTTCAAATGTTTGTACCCTGTTTTGTTTTTCCAAGCATAGACTGCTGTCCCCAAATATGATGATCCACTTCTAGGAATGAATACAAAGGATGCAGTAAGTACCGACCAGAGAGTCTTAGGGAATTTGGTAAGAACGCACCATAGGAAAACTAAACATGATGATTTCTGGTCATGAGTAGGTTTTAGTTTTACTAGTGAAAAAGCACTATTGTTTTGCTGCCATAGTTACTGTTTACCTTCTATCCTTTGGCTTCAGGTTCCAATTGAAACCATAAAGGCAGTTCAGAGAAGGGAAAGGGACATGTGGGCTACAGCAGGGAGAACTTTATGGAGGTGAGACTAGAACAAGACCTTGAAGGATGGAACAGGTTTTTACAACTAGAAGAGGAGAATGATACCAAGTGGTAAGACTGAGCACATCGTTAAAAAATAAAATAAAATAAAATAAAATAAAAAAAAAATGAGGAAAAACCAGCCTTTTGTGTGAACATGAAGAACCCTGGAGAGTGTTTGAAGAAAGGGTTATAGTTTTGCCTGTCAAGGGTATGTGTACTGAATTTGTGACAAATTCTTGATCTAATAAGGGGAATATCTGGATAAAAATCAGAGACTCTGAAAAAACTATTTTAATGATTTTCTATCTAATAGGTGGAAATGAAAATGCTTAATGACACAGTAGCCTACACTTGTTGTCCAGAGTTGGCAGCAGGCCTGTGAAATGATTTATAATGCCTTTGCAATAGAAAAAAAATTTGTGCAGCTATCTACAGCATCAGAGCACTATTCTTCTTCCATGTCAGGAAAAACAGCAAGTTCAGTCCAATCGTCAAGTCCCAGGAAAGATGCATTTGTGCCTCCAGAGGGCACTGCTGTTTTCATAAAAGAAGTAAGTCTTTGCTTTCGATAGTGTTGTTCTTGTTTGTTTGTTTTTCCCCCTTTAGGTAAGGCTTTAAAGGCGTAGAGATACACTTGAGGGGGGTGTGTGGGCGTATATATGTCCAAAGAAATCAGGAGCAGGGAGCATTTTGCCCATAAAACAGTCTCTTCAATTTTAATAATAACACCAATAGCAACTTTCCATCACTGGTTCCTACCGAGTTCTGTTCTCTGCACGGGAACATGAAGAAATGGACCCCTCCTCTAGCCAACTGCCTGCTCAGCCCACTGCAGTGGGTTCCTGCCTCACCCCCAGTCCTCCTCTGCTCATCAGTGTCCTCCGTGCGGTTAACCTCAATAGACTCTCTTCTATATTTCATTGTGTCCCAAAACTCTGCTTTCACAGCAGAAGCGAACCATCTTCACTTGGTTCTTCTGTTACCTTTCACTTTACCTTTACAGGATTCACCTTCCTACCCTCACCCGACTCCCTCCAAAGTCCATGCTTTCTCTCCTCGACTCCACAGTTCAATCAATGCTATACTATTTATCCCCTCGAAATCTAGAATCTTCTCTTCTGTCCCATAAACAACCCATCAATTAGGTCTAAACACCTAAGTCCTTGCGCTCCTATCCTTCTTACCCACTGACCACTTCCCTTCAGGGCCTCGGGGCCTCTTGCCTGAGCTATGTCAGCAAAGTCTCTTTAAAAATTTAAATGTATTTAATTTTACATCTTAGTGTTTGAATCGGTATTATGTTTCCTGGTTCAAATTTAGAAGTGTGAAAGGCTCCCTCCTACCCCTAACTGCAGAATCATAAAGTCTATGCAGTTGTAATTCTGATAGTACTGCCGAATTGCTTTCCATAAACACTGACCCATGCTGAAACCGGTTTGGCTCAGTGGACAGAGCGTCAGCCTGCGGACTGAAAAGTCCCAGGTTCGATTCCGGTCAAGGGCAAGTACCTTGGTTGCAGGCACATCCCCAGTGGGGGGTGTGCAAGAAGCAGCTGATCAATGTTCTCTCTCATCGATGTTTCTAGCTCTCTATCCCTCTCTCTTCCTCTCTGTAAAAAATCAATAAAATATATATTTTTTAAAAAAGACTGACCCATTTCCAGTATTACCAGCCATATGTAAAAACTTCATCTCTGGATTCTCTGCCTTCATTCATCCCTGCTTGCAAAAGTGTCCTCCACATGGTTGTCAACACCATCTTTCCAAAATGCACATCTGACAACCCTTCTGTTTCTTCCCACTGATCTTTAAGACTTTTCATCTGCTCACAACTCTCCCCTTTCTTCCCACTGATCTTTTCAAGACATTTTACCTGCTCACAACCCTTACGGTTCTTCCCACTGATCTTCATGCCTTTCACTGTCTAGCCCCGTGTTGTATGTCCAGAGTGGGCCGTTAGCCACAGGCAGCTCTTGAGCTCCTGAAGTGTGGCTAGTCCCACCTGAGATGTGTGAGATAAACACTGGATCACAAAGACTTAGAATGACAGAAAGTATGTAAAATATCTAATAAGCCAGTCAGATAAAGACAAGCAGAACATCATCTCACTCATACGTAGAATCTAAAGGACAAAATAAACATGAACAAAATAAATCCAGGGACATAGAAACATGGAACTGACAATGGTGAAGGCCTGGTGGGGAGGAGGGGACAGGCTAGAATGGTTCCGTGAGGGGGGGAAAAAAAAGGGTACATCTGTATAACTTCCAACAATAAAGGGAAATTTTGAAAACGTTTTTAACACTGATCACATGCTGGGTGATCAATTTAGGATATATATGATTACATTTAGGACCTATTGAGTTAAAGAACATCATTAAAATTGATTTCACTTGTTTATGAAAAATATGGCTCATAACATTTTAAACATTAAAATTAGATATTAATATTTGGTTCCATTTGCATGTGTAGGGACAGCACTGATCTAGCCCCTTCCTCCATCATGCCCCTCAGCCATCTCCTCTCCTCCAAGGCCCCAGTGCTCTCTGTGCCTCAGATGCCCCACCATCCCCTCACCCCACCCCCACCCCCACCTCTCTCTCTCTAAGATTTTGCTTCAAGTTCCCTCTCCGAAGCCTTCCAGAGGTTTGCTTCCCCAGTCCTCCTCCCTCGCCGAGCCCGAGTGCACTCTCATCTTTATTCTCAGAGGCACCCGGTTCAGGCAGCGGGCCCGGCCCAGGAAGGAGGGCGGAAATCAGGAAGCGCTTCGTCCGTCTGAGGGATCCAGGCGGAGGGAGGTGACTGGTGCTAAGTCATAGCGCAAGTGGAACCACTTCAGATTTTTTTTTTTTTTTTTAATGCGTGTATTAACCTGAATTCGGGACGGGACTGGCACATTAGCTGCACACAACAGTACTGGCAACGACAGTGAGAGTTGGGAGGCATCACAAGCTCAGGAGAAACTTCCTTTGACTTCAGCACCTGGCGGGTCTCACCCTCACAAGGGCGGCCTGCCCCCCCCCCCCCCCGCCTCCTATTTTCCCCCTCCGGCCCCCGCTTTCCCCCCGCCCGAGCCCGAGCCCGCAGGAGGGGACGCGGCCGTCGGTCCCGCCGCCCGCCGCCCACCCCCGGGGCCGGGACGGGAGCTACTCACCTCGTGGCGGCAGGAGCGAAGGCTGCAGGGGGAGGAGAGGAGCGCCGTTCGGGGAACCGGGAGGCACTTCGAGGGAAAGCGAAACTGAAACTTTGCGCCGGGCGGTGCGGGGGCGGGACGCACCCCCGCCTCAGCCTCAGTCCCGGCCCGCCGCGCCCGGAGCCGCCGCGCAGCCCGCGGACCCCCGCAGCCATGGCCTCGCCTCCCGGGCCGCCCTCCCCGCTGCTGGTGCGGGTGTCCGAGCCCGGCCTCAACTTACGTCGGAAGCTGCAGGGCTACTTCCAGAGCCGGCAGTCGGGCGGCGGGGAGTGCGAGATCCAAAGCCTGGGCTCCGGCGCCTACCGGGTGGAGTTCCTGGAAAGGGCAGGTGAGCTTCGGGCCTGGGGCCGGGGCCGGGGGGGGGGGGGGGGGGGGGGGGGAGGAATGTGTGTGTGTGTGTGTGTGTGTGTGTGTGTGTGTGTGTGTGTGTAAAGGCCTTAGGCCGTCCCTGGGGCAGGTGAGGTGCAGGCCGGGGGGGGGGGGGGCGGGGGGGAGGTGTGTGTGTGTGTGTGTGTGTGTGTGTGTGTAAAGGCCTCGAAAAGGCGGTCTCTGGGGCAGGTTAGCTGCAGGCCTGGGGCGGGGGGGGGGGGGGGGGGAGAGGTGTGTGTGTGTGTGTGTGTGTGTGTGTGTGTGTGTGTGTGTGTGTGTGTAAAGGCCTTGCAAAGGCTCCCTGGGGCAGGTGAGCTGCGAGCCCGTCCCTGGGGCCCAGCCTCACCGGTTCCAGGCAGACCCAGAGCCAGCTCACTAGGGAAAGGACTGGAGAAAGCTTGGCACCGCCTGGGGGAGAGGTGGTGGTGGGGACACAGGACCTGGGGTCTCTTCCTGCCAAGAGACTCAGCCCACGGGAGGATGGAGCCCACGGTCGCTGAGCTGGCCTGGCTGCACCTTATCATGGACACCTTCCAGCATCCTGGCCCTGACTCATCTTTCTCAGCTCTAACACCTTTCTGTCCCCCACAGGTCTGTCTCTCCTGGCTATTTAGTTATTCCACCTGTATGCTTTAAATAATTATTCCATTGACTTATTTTTGAGGATGACAAATGATGCCCGCCATAGAAAAGAGGGGGGGAAAAAGGAATAAAGAACAACACCTGGAGATAAGCAATGTGAACATTTTGGTATATTTCTTCCAGCCTTTTCCTGTAAATGGCAGTACACACGTGAATATTTACAAAATTCTGAGTCTGCACTGCCGACTCCCTGGGCTGTTGTTGTTTTCCAATCCACTCTTTATGAGCATTATCCCATCTGATTGAAAAAGGAAACCGAAACAGTTTCAGAGACATGACTTGTCACAAGTTGTCAGTGTTTTACTGCCCTTGAGCTTTTATTTGTGCAAGAAAATTGAAGCTGCCCGAGTGAGAGTTTTGAATAGTTCCCTCACATTCCCTAACATAAACACCCTCCCAGCATGCGGGGAGCAGCCCTCACTGGGAGGGTGCTTGGGCAGGGTACAGATGCCTGAATAGAGGATTATTTGAAATCACTCCCTTGTTTTTGTGTATGTGTGTGTTTAATGTCTCCACTGAAGCTAAGCAGAGAGTGTTGGAACAAAAAGAGCACAAAATTGTGGTTGATGACAAACGTGTGACCATTTCCCTGGAACCCACTGAAAATCCATTAGAGAAGAATGGAATGTCTCAAGTGCAAACACAATCACAAGAAGGGGCAAGGTCTGGTGAGAAGCATCCAAATGAAGAACAGAGTCCTAATTCTGTGGATTCCTGTGTCCAAAAGGTGAGTATTGAAAGGAGGTATGTGTGTATTTGCCACTTCCTCTCCAGTCACCATATATTACATTATTGTCTCACAACCATTGGCTGAGGACTCACTATGAGCCAGACACTGTTTCAGGTACTGGGACCCAGAGGACAAGTCCCTGCTTGGGGGGGTGGGGGGGGGTTGGGGGGAGGAAGGCACTACATAAAAGGACAATAAGCAAGTAAACCAAATAAGACAATTTTACACAGTAATATATGCCAGGGCGAGGAAGGAGAAGGAGGTCTTGCTACTTCTGACCAGGAGTCAGAGACAAAGTCTGAGGTGACATTTGGCCTGTGACTTGAATGAGAAGGAGCTAGCCGGGCCAAGAATCATTTGACAAATCCATAGCAACTGCCTACTGTGTGCCAGGCACTGTCACAGAAGCTGGGGACACAGCCAGCTACATAGCAGACCCTGCCCTCAGGGACCTTACATTCTAATGAGGGATACAGATCCTAAGAGTAAACAAATCCTCCTCCTATATAATAAAAGCCTGATATGCAAATTGACTACACAGTAGAATGAGCAGTCTCTATGATGCACACTGACCATTAGGGGGCAAACGCTCAACACAGGAGCTGCCCCCCAGCCCATAGGCCCCAGACCAGCCAAGGCAGGTGCCAGTGGGGCCCTCCCCACCCCCAATTACCCCGCAGATCAGAGCTGATCGCAGGCCAGGCATCGGGACCCTACCCGTGCACAAATTCTAGTGAGGGATACAGATCCTAATAGTAAACACATCCTCCTCTATAATAAAAGGCTAATATGCAAATTGTCCCCTCAGGGGTTTGACTGCCTGTTATGATGTGTGCTGACCACCAGGGGGCAGTGTGGAACAAACAAAGGCCCCAGGAAGCAGCCAGAAGGCCCGGATCAGCCCTGATCACCAGTCAGGCCTGGGCACCCTACCTGTGCTCAAATTTCACGCACCAGGCCTCTAGTAGATTTATAATAAAACTAGAGGCCCAGTGCACAAAATTCATGCAGAGGGGAGGGTGTCCCTGAGCCTGGCCTGTGCCCTCTCACAATCTGGGACCCCTTGGGTAGTGTCCCTAGGCCTGGCAATGATCAGGGCCTATCGGGGCTTTACTTCCCCTGGCTGCTGGGAGCTGGTGCCCTACCCCCCCCCCCCCACCCCCTGCTGCTGCCACAGCTAGGCATCTGTGAGGTGCTGCCTCCTCCCTCCCCTGCCACCAGTCACCTCCCTCTGTGGGCGACAGGCATGGGATGCAATTGCTTGGCTGGCCTGGGCCTCCCTCTATGGGGAGATTTCTGGCTGGCCCTGCACACCCACCATAGCATCACTGGCCGGTGGCCTGGGCCTCCCTCTGTGGGATCCCCAGACTGCAGGGCCCCCAGATGGATCACCTTCAGAGGGAGGCCCTGCCCACCCACTGCAGTGCCACCAGCTGGGTAGCCTGGGCCTCCCTCTTTGGGGCTATCGCTCACCCAGCTGGGCTCTGCAATCAATCGCGGTACAGAGGGTAGCACGGGCCTGCCTCTTTTGGGTGCTCACTGAGCCCCTCCTACCTCTCAAATCAATTGCCTCGCCTGCGCCTCCCCCTACGGGGTGATTATGGCCCCCCCCAGACTAATCGCATCACACCTCCTTGGCTGGTCTGGCGCTGGTGCGTGTCATAGTGTGGTCATCCAGAAGGTGGTCCAGGTGGTCTGCTGTTTGGTCGGTTCGGTCGATTTGCATATTACACTTTTATTATTATAGATGTCTGACAGTGATGGTGCTAGGAAGAAGAATAAAGCAGGGTAAATGATAGTGTGACAAGACCACTATTTTGGGATATCTGGAAAAACCTCTTGAATGAGGTAACATCTGAATAAAGACATGCATGGAGTAAGGGAGCTAGCTGAGTGGATATTGGGGGAAAGAATGTTCTAAGTAGAGGGGAGCACAAGAGCAAAGGAAAGATGGGAGCTTACATCCTGAGCCCAAAGCTTCAAGAGAGGAGGCCAGTGGGCTAGCGGGCAGTGAACAAGGAATAAGAGAGGAACTTGGAGAGATAACCAGAAGTCAGGTTTTTGGGGATGGAAGTAAGGACTTTGGATTTTCACTTAAATGTAAGGGGATTCATCAGATGGTTTTGAGCCAGGGGAGTGGAGTGATCTGATTTATGTCTCTAAAGGATCACTTTGGCTGCTGTGTGGTTCCCTAATTTTAGAAAGGGACTGGAGTGGAAGGTCAGAGCCCAATCAGGAGGAGTTGCTGTAGGCCAAGTGCAAGATGAGAATGGCTTGGGCTTCGGTGGTTCTAATCAAGCTGTAAGAAGTGGCTGGATTCAATAAACATTTTGAAGGAAGATCCAAAAAGAGGATGTTACATGCAGAGGAAATAACATGTGCAAAGACCTTGAGGAGGGGGGGGACATTAGAAATCTTTTTTTATTCCATTGAGTTTGCCTATATATTTTTTAGCCTAATTTGTTGTGCTTGCCTTATACTTGAGCTACTAAAGGCTCAGGTTTAGAGGACTCAGCAACATTGCATGCACTTAGGTGTTTAGTTAAAAAAAAAAAAAAGGAGGGGGGCTGAAGACTAGAAAAAACAGAGGAAAAAAACATCCTCCTCAGATTTATGGGTTCCTTCCTGGCTTACAGACTCTTTTGTGAGAACCACGGCAGCTTGCTTGAAAAGACAAAGTGCCTTCCCTCCATCAAACAGAGAGTGGCATATCCAGATTGCTTGTCCACAGAGCCTTTACAATATGCTCATGTCCAGGCTCTACATTTACACCAGAATCTCTGGAGATGTGCATAGGCCTTGGCTTTTTTGCCCCCCTCTCTTTTAACTTCCCAGGTGGTTCTAATGTGCAGACAGGCCGAGAACCTCGCTCTGGGCTATAGGGTGCTCCATCCTCTGTGAAAAGGATTTGAAACAACAAATCTTCTAAGGGAGGACATAGTAGTTATTTCTCTAGTCTTTAGACATTCTCCTTAGGCGAGACTGTAGGCCTGGATGTCTGAAAGATTTCATTTGCTCCTTTTAAATTTTCAGATCTTCCTTACTGTCACAGCTGACCTGAACTGTAACCTGTTCTCTAAAGAGCAGAGGGAACACATAACCACTCTCTTCCCCAATGTCAAAAGAAAGGAGGGCCACGATGGAATTGAGACGGTGCGTGGTGACTTCAGAGATATTGAAAAAATACATGACTTCTTGAGCGAGCAACTCCTAAAAAGTGAGCAGAAACAGGAATCAGCCCCTTTGGCAACAGAGAGGGAGCCACTCCATCAGCAGGACCAGGGGGACAGCTGTGTTTCTCCCACTGAACCAAGAGCGAAGTCAGAAGGAAAAAGCAGTTGTTTCAAAGTTCCCTTGCATTTATTTAAATACTTCACAGATACCTCCTCTGAAAAAATAAACTCGCTAAAGAAAAAATATGGTATAGAAATAAAAATCCAAGAGAGTTCTCCGAATGAGGTCTCATTAAACTTCATCTCAAGTCCATCTGGTGACCTCAGAGCAGCTAAAGATACTTTTGTCAGAGAATTTCAGGAAAGCATAGGCAATATGGAGCAGAAATGTGTTGCATTAGCAGACAAGAAGCAGGCAAATAAATTCAAGCAGGGATTTTCTCACCAACTTAATGACATTTCAGCTGCCGGACATTTTCTTGCCCCTCAAATCTCTGAAAGTCGGGTCAAGGTACCTGTGAAAATAATAACTCCGACGTGGATGAAGAATGGAATTGAGGTTGACACAGCTCACTACAAGCTTTTAGAAGCTGAATTATTCCAGGAGATATCAGAGATTGAAAAAAAGTACAACATTCAAAGTAAGATTTTGGGGAAAGGTCATAAAACCTGCCTTCTATTTGAACCTAAGGACAAGGAGTTAGATCTGTCTGTGCATGCTTATGCAAATTTCATTGATGCCTATCAGCATGTTTCTTGTCAGCTGATGAGAGAAGTTGTTTCACTGAAATCTTTGGGCGACGAGAGAAAGGTCTTCTATGCGATCAAGTTTGATGATAACCTTAGAAAAAGACATCCAGGTGTAGACTTTGTGGTAAATCAAGCATCAGTTACCTTTTTTGGATTGCCGAATCACGTAGCAAAGGCTAAACAATATGTCTTACAGACATTAGCTGGAGAGAAATCGAATAAGGATCATGAAACACCCATGGACGTTGATAGTAATGATTCAGAAACATTTTTACCAACATCCCAGCCCTCTGCCAGTTCTGGGGCATCAGGAATGAACAAGGAAGAGGATATCTGTAGCATCTGTTTGGAGTCCATTAAGAACAAGCTAGTTCTATCAAAGTGCAAGCACGAATTCTGCACCCCTTGTATCAACAGCTACATGACATATAAGCCAGTCTGCCCTTTGTGCCAGACTGTTTATGGTGTCCTAAAAGGGAATCAGCCAGAGGGAACGATGTCTGTCCGTTACACGAGAGATTCACTTCCAGGTTACGAAACCTGTGGCTCCATCGTGATTGATTATAATATGAGAGGAGGCACACAAACAGTAAGTGTTTCTGAGATCCCTGTGTTTCTTTCCACTGTGCTAGGATTACGCTGTTGCCAATTAGTGGGTTTCCCAGGGATTTATTTCTATGGTTATATTTCTAAGGCTTTAAGTAGTGATGAAGTTAACAGTGTTAGCTTAGAACTTACCTTTTGCGTCTGTTAAGGGGGAGGAAGGGTGGATGGTGATTATGTGTTAGGGTGGATGGTATTCCCAGCATGAATTTAGGGAAAGAGGATAAATATGAATTATTGGGAATATGAGATTATTTTTATACTTTTTTTTTTTTAATTTACTCTATCTGCAAATGAACACATCTATCCTGTATAGTAAAATTTAGACTCCTGAGTGTGACATTGTTCTGTCTTCACACAGGAAGAGCACCCACGCCCAGGAATGAATTATTCTGGAACACATCGAACTGCATTCTTGCCTGATAACAAGGAAGGAAAGGAGGTTTTGACACTGCTTCAAAGGGCCTTTGACCAAAAGCTAATTTTCACAGTGGGGGATTCTCGAGTTACAGGAGCGACAAATGTCACTACATGGAATGATATCCACCACAAAACCTCCAAGAGTGGGGGACCAGCAAAGTGAGAAGTTTTGAAATACAGGGATTGCTAAACAGAATTTAGAGGTTGTAAGCTATGGCAATTTGAGGATATGGCTGTAAGGGACTGTTTGTAGCAGTGGGATTGGATACAGTCTTTTTTAAAAAGATATATATTTTATTGATATTTTACAGAGAGGAAGGGAGAGGGATAGAGAGCTAGAAACATCAATGAGAGAGAAACATCGATCAGCTGCCTCTTGTACTCCTTCTATTGGGGATGTGCCCACAACCAAGGTACTTGCCCTTGACCAAAATCGAACCCTGGATCTTTCAGTCTGCAGGCCGACGCTCCATCCACTGAGCCAAACCAGTTAGAGACTGGATACTGTCTTTTGAGAGATGTTAATTTTAAAGCCAGACGATCAGTTCCCATCACCTTCTAACTGTATGATAGTTATTATACAGTTATTAAATTTTGTATCAAAAGGCAAGGGTCTTCAGAATCCAAGATCAATGATATCTCAGATGACTTGATTTGTGGTTTCCTGTTTTTTGAAGGGTAGATCCTAGGAATGTTATTTGCCTTTTTTAAAGATTGTCCTTCTACCCTCTCCTCCCATCGGTCCATAGAGGTCCCTAATTTATTTGGATGATAGTACTCAAGAAAAGCTCTTATTTAATGTTGTGAAAGTTGTATTGTAGGCAACCCAGTTGTTCTTAGTAATTTCAGATAGAGTATCTGTGATCCTTAATATTCAAAAGGGTTCTAAGGTTTTGCAAATTCTCCAAATTTGAAAATTCTGCTGTAGCATATACCACATATATATAATAAAAATATATATGTGGTATATGCTAAATAAAATATATAATAAATATATAAATAAAAATATAAAAATATATACTATACTAAATTTTTATATATAACATGTTTTAATACATTTTATATATTTATTTTTTATATAGAGTATAACTTTATTAGAGTCACTGCTTACCACAAATTGAAAATGAAAAGTCTTATTGGGAGGCAGATCCTAGACAGACAGCGAGGCTCACTCACTAGCTGAATGAGTCACATCTGCACACTTACAAGTGATTATAATTATCCGCCTCCAGGATTGCTTGTTAATGTTTGCAACACAATGCTAATGCCAGGGACCTGCTGTACAGAATCTTTAAAACCATGTGTGAAACTAAGGGGCCTTTCCTTTTGCAGCTATGGCTATCCTGATCCTGATTATCTGAAACGCGTCAAGAAGGAGCTGAAAGATAAAGGAATTGAGTAAGAAGACTGATAGAAGGATATTTGAGCCAAGCGCTCCAAAGAACAGTTGAAAAGGCAGAGTAAATACCAATCTAAATTTCAATGAAGAAACAACCTTTAAAAATACTCACCTCAAGGAGATTCGTGTAAGAGTAAGAATCTGATAGTCTGTCATTTCTGAATTGTCACTTTTTATGGAAGATAAAAGCCCCAAAGATCTACCAGTATGTGATTTTTGCTGCAGAGGTATTGTGCCTCATTCTTGTGTCATTGGTGGGGGGAATGGAGTACTTTGTGCTCTTCAGTTGAAATATTAGCTGCCAGTTGATCCTTTTTAAATTACCATCTCTGGGTGGTCCTTTAGTTTTTGTTGGTTGGTTGGTTAGCCCTTTAAGTACCCCAAAGGTAAAGTCCTAGTGTGAATGGTGGAGGGGAGATTCTTTGGTTAAGGAAAATTAATACACATTTCCCTCCCTGATGGCCAGAAAAATGGCCAGGAGTAAAGATTGGGCAACATTTGCTAATAAATAATATAAGGCTATTATTTTTCATGCTATAGAGCTTGCTATATACAGTTGGTGCATAATATATTTTTGCTGCCTGCCTCAGGATTCTGATACCCCAGCAGAGGGATATATACGCTCTCCAAATTTTTAGCAGAGGCAGGAGTAAGAAGCCATTTCTGAAGTCCTCACCACTGATTTGGAAAACTGAGTTTCTTATCTGGTTATCACATCTCAGCCTCTCTCTGAAAATGATGAACAAGATGTCTTTCTCTTTTCTTAAAGATACACACACACACACACACACACACACACACATTTATTTGTTGTGGACTTATTTTGTCCCCTTTATAAGATCTTTATATCTGTAGGGTTGATACTATTAGTATCCCTATTTTATAACAGAAAACTGATGAAAAGAAAGGCTACCTTGACAAAGGTCACATAGTTAATAAGTAGAAGAGCTGGGATTTGAAGGAGATAGTTTGTCTGCAAGGCTTCTATACCCCAGAGCTATACTGCCTCCCATAGAGGGACTTCTCCATGGAGTGACTGAGGAGTTCCTGTTAGTCTGGGCTTCTCTCAAAAATGCATCCTACACATTGCTCACAGCACCTTTCCTCCATAGAAGTCCTATTTGAAGAACTTAAAAATGCAGAATCTTTTCTTTTAGAGAGTTGAAGAAGCTTAAACTAAAAGATAGGCCTTTAAAAATATTAGATGATACATTGAATTTTTGATTATTCATTAAAGTCTTAACCATTGAGAGTAGTTATTTTGTATCTATTAAACTTTTAGCTAAATTTGCAAAAAACACACACAAAAGTTTGGTTCCTGCTTAGGTCTAGATCCTTGATTACAATGTAGTGTGTGCATTGGCATTTTAACAGTGTGAGTTGTTGGTGAGCTTAGATTGTTGCTTTTGCTCTGTGTGAGGTATTATCAGCTGTATCTGCTTCAAATAAAGTTACATATTAGGAACAGATGGTCTGTGTTCTTTCCTTACTCTTTCTTTTTCCTTAGGACCTAAGGCTTAGGTTGATATTCTGGTGGTTTCCTACAACACATACCGTGTACAGCAAAAGTACTTTGACTTCATTGCTGCCATTTTCAGCTGTGAAAAACCACATTTTTAAATAGTTTTTCTCTTTAACACAGAGTACTACGAAGGTAAGAGTAGGCTGCAGTTTCATCTCTTTTCTCCTTCTTCCCACAACCCCTACCCCTTGGATTCAACTAATTCGCTAGAGTGACTCTCAGAACTCAGGAAACCAATTTACTCCCTAAATTATCTGTGAATTACAAAAGGATAAAACTCAGAAACAACCGACCAGATGGAAGAGTTGCTCAGGGCAAGCTATGTAGAAAAGAGCAAGGGCTTCCATGACCTCTGAACATTCCATTCTACCAGCACCTTCACTTGATCCCCAACCCAGAAGCTCTCTGAACCCTGTCCTTTTGGAAGCTTTATTACATAGACATAGTTGATTAAATCATCAACCATTGGTGATTTAACTTCATTTCCAGCACCTCTCTCCTCCCCAGATGTCAGGAGTGGGACTGAAAGTTCCAACCCTCTAATCATGTGGTTGGCTCCTCTGGTAACCAAACCCCATTTTTAGTCACCTTGGTGGGGAGCATAAGACATTTTTGGGGGCTAGCAATCTGAATTTGTTCCAGTAACCTGCCTTCTACTGCACACTTTTGCTAGCCGATAGTGAACTCCATGTGTGAAAGAATGTAGGAGACTAGCAGCTGGACTCTGTACCTAGTTAATCAGTGTCCCTAATGCACATTCCTGAAGTCACTGCCCCTTCCTTAATTATCTGGTCTTGCAAGACCTATTTACCTAAATACTTCCAATTGACAAGGGCCATAAACCAAGGATGTAACAGCTTAACTAGAGGGAGGTCACTGGCACCATCCAGAATGGGCATTAGAAACAATCTAAATTAACCATTCTTCGAGGGGGGTTGGGCGAGTCCACTACAGAAGCTTGGTAGTTAGGAAACAAACTCAGAAATATATAAGGAGAAAATCTCATTGTCTAAATTGTTCAGAATCTGGATCTTTGAGTTCCCTGAACCAGGAGCACTGCTTTGAATAAGGGCTTTTCCTGAACCTCCGAGTGTCCAACTGTCTTCTTCCACGCCAATTCCATAACAACCTCATTAACATAAAATACATCTTTATGGGCTCTCAGCTTTTGGGAAATTCTAAGGATCTTAGGAGGTCTGCCACAAACTGGAACAAATACCAAATACATATTCCCTATTATAAATCACAACATCACAGGTGGTATCAAAGCAATCATTGGCAGAAAAATCAAACCTTTGTGCTACTTCTTAAATTTATCTTGGGGTGTAGTGCTGGTTTTGCTTTGATTGCCATATGGGAGTTGGGTACCATTGTCTTTTCTATTGGTTGGGTTCTAAGTCCTCCAAAACAGAGCCTTACACAAAAATCAAGATGTTAGCAACTTGTTTGGGAAGTGCAAACCCAGGTGAGTGAAGAAAGGATAAACAAAAAGGGAAGTGAGGCGAACTAAGATGTTATACAGTACAATGCCATGGATTATCATTCCAACCACTGCTTCACACAGAGCTTTGAAAAGACAGAGCAGGTCACTCTGAAAGGGCAGAGCAGGACTGACTCCATTTTGTACTGTGTCCTCCATCTTGTGTACCGTATTTTTCGGACCATAAGACGCTCCGGACCATAAGACGCACCAGTTTTTAGAGAAGGGAAATGAAGAAAAAAAGATTCTGAAACAAATAGTGTTCTAAAATATTTTATGTGCATTAAAACCCAACATCACAGTCATAAACACATGTAATCAACCCTGTAAAGTAAACAGCAGCATTTAGAATCATTTTAGAGCCGGGCAAGCACACAGAGACCACACAGAGCCGGGCAAGTAAAAAAACTTTTTTTTTAAAGTATATGTGTAGGTTATATTTGGACCATAAGACGCAGGGACTTCCCCCCCCCCCCCCATTTCTGGGGGGAAAAAAGTGCATCTTATGGTCCAAAAAATACGGTAACTATGTCCCCAACAGGACCCCTTTCCGAGAAAAAAACACAGAATGTGACAGTTACCCAACCCATCCTTAAATGAGCCAATAGAGACGCAGAGGGAAGTAACCTGGTGTAACTGGACACTGGCCCTCACCCCACCAATCGGAACCAGCCAACTCAGTGGTCCGAGCATCACCCCACCACCCAACCTGAAACCCTATAAAAAAGCTGTACTTTCAGAACTCGGGGCTCTTTCCATCCTGCCGCTGTGTCGGTAGAGGCGGAGAGACTGGGCTTGAGCTTGAATAAAGGCTCTTTGCTTTTGCATTGGACTCCGCTCCCTGGTGGTCTTTGGGGATCTTGAAATCTGGGCATAACAATTCCACAGTTTTATTTGCTTGGCATAGGAGTTGAAAAGGCCTGCAGAAATGGTGATTTTATAGAGGAGGAACCTTAGTTCCTGGGAAAACAGGCAATATAAAATATGTTACAGTAATAGTACATTGATATATAATCTTATTGGCACCTTTGGCTTTTCCCTCTTGTCCTACATGTCCATCATCACTTGTCCTGCCTCTCCACTTCAAATCTCACTACCCTATTGGCATTTTCATAGTTCTTTTACCAGAATGATTACTTATATAAAACTCTGTCCCCATCTCTTTTCCTCCTCCAACTGCAAACTACCTTTTGAGAAAAATAGCTCATCTCATTACTCCTCTGATAATATGCCATTAGTGATTCTCCAATGCCCAGAACAGTGCTTGTGAAACTTGATCTTGTGTCAGAATCATTGGAGGGCTCAATAAAATGCAGATTGCTAAGGCCCATCCCCAGAGTTTCTGACCAGTAGGTATGAAGTTGCAGCCATGAATGTGCATTTCTAAAAGTTTCAACTGCTGTTGCTGCTGGTGGTGGTTTTCAGTCCACAATTTTGACGGCCATTGGCCTAGAAACTCCCCAGCATGGCATCAGGGTTTCTCAGTCCGCTTTCCTCTGGCCCTGAGAGCACACTTTCTCTTTCCACTAAAAGCTGTGTTTCCCTGTCTGGAGCTGAAACTCAGAAGATGTCTCACTGGAGCGGAGTGGTATAGACCAGCACAGGTCAGAGAAGACTGGCACAGAAAAAAGCAGATGAGGAAAAGAGCAGAGCTATTTAGCTGGAGAGAGGTCTGACCCAAGGGCCACCTCACACCCCTGCTGTATCACAATGAGCTGTTTTGCATTAAATAGAGTTTCCTTCTTACTGCACCCCAAATTGGTACCACCAACCATCTGTTGACAATGCAGATGTGATGTCAAGATTTACTTACCGAGGTTTCTTGTGGTGATGTTGAGCATTCACTTCTAAGTACTGCAGCAATCCCATTCTCATGCCCTCTGATTACTGGCTGGGTTCGGTAAAAGGCGGTACCAGCAAGAGATTGGAGGCTCAGGGAAGAGAGTGGTTGGGGGACTCACTCCCTTGCTGTCTCCCAAAATCCATGTTTCTCTTGCAATGTCTTGCTCCTATAGGTATGGCTCTTCCCAGTCTTAGTATATACCTCCTCCTTGCCTTTTTAGCCTAGATGGTAAGGAGAAGCAGATTGGGAGGTGTTTCGCCATTTCTCTTTACTTTTTGGCCACATCCTTCTATATGATCCCTTCATCGAACTCTCCTCAATTACCTATTTTGAGTGCACCATCTGTATTCTGCCACGATACAGCAGGTAAATGTGTATTAGTCTGCTCTTTTGCTTTCTTCTCCTTGCTTTCAGGCTTGCCCCAGAGAAAAATGAATCTGCATCCAATTCATCTTTATAATCTTAACACAATGCCAGGCATATAAAGGGCTTTCGATACACGTTGGTGGAGTTAAATAATGTCTTGTTAGGCTAGACCTGATTCTGAAAGGGCAGGATAGGACCTACTCCATTTTGTTCTGTATCCTCCATCTTGTGTAACTATGTTCCCGACATGACCCCTTTCTGAGAAAAACCACAAGAATGTTCCAGTTACCTAACCCACCCTTAGGAATGCAGGGGGAAGTATCCTACCATCTGAGCAACTGGACCCTAGCCCTCACTCAACCAACCGGAATCAGCCAACTCAGAGGTCCGAGCATCACCTCACCACCCAACCCAAGCCCTATAAAACTGATGTACTTTTGGAACTCGGGGCTCTCTGCATCTTGCTGCTGCATCGGTAGGGGCGGAGAGACCAGGCTCGAGCTTGAATAAAAGGCTCTTTATTTTTGCATTGGACTCGGCTCCCTGGTGGTCTTTGGGGAATCTTGAAATCTGGGCATAACAACTCCAGCCCCTCTCAGTGCGTATGAAAAGGACTTAGGATATTTTTCTGAAGATGTGTGGGGAGACAAAGCAGGAGAGGTTAGGAATAGGATGCCCAGGATAAAGGGGAACTAATATAGATTATTTTTTTTAACCAGACAGCAGGGTTTTTTTGTGTTTTTTTTTTGAGGTGCACGCCCAGTGCCTGAGGTCCGGCTCTCTCCAACTTCCCTCTGGCTTCTCCCAGACCTTCACATTCTGGGCAGTCAATGTCTTGCCCTCACACTCAACTAAGAGTAAGGCACTGATGTTCTAGAGTAGGGGTGTCGAACTCAATCAGAGAAGGGGCCAAAATCTAAAATCCAGCCTAAATCGTGGGCCGAATGGTTTACTGAACAGTCATAAACTGTCATTGTGATGGAAACGCAGCGGAGTGCAGTGATGACAGCGCGGTGCGGGCCACATTGCAAGGCCTGGCGGGACGGATTTGGCCCGCGGGCCTTGTGTTTGACACATGTGTTCTAGAGCAAAAAATCAACCAACCAACCAACCAACCAAACAGACAAAAAACCAACCCACAAAAACAACACACACACACACAAAATTAAACAAAAACAAACAAAAAGCAGGACAAGAATATCATGAAGTAGTTATGCTGATGCCCACTGTACAGATGCCACTAAGAGTTTACTC